GGGCGCACTAGTCGGCGGCGGGTCGGGGGGGGGGGAAGTGAGAAGGAGCAGGCCTTCTCAGAAGGGGGCGGGGTTTCTCAGAGGTTCCCTGGCCTCTTGTGAAGTGTTTTCTGTCCTCATGGAAAGCTTCGAGCATTTTTCAAGATGCCGAAGGCCTTCGGAGCCTTCTTAGAAGCCCCTCCCATCTCACTTCCCCGCTGGGCTCGCCGTCGAACTAGTGGTCTGGGAGCACCTCGCGAAGCTTCGGGCCGATGAAAAGTGCGCCCCAGAGTTGCTCGTGGAATGGTCTCGCGCATCTGCTGCGCTGTAGGGCATCGCCAGTGCTGCTGCTGCTAGAGCTCTTGCCATCGAGGCGCTGGCGAGGGGCGTTGGGGCGTGAAGGCCTCTCAAAGTCCAGGGGGCTGCTAATCTGAAGTCGGGCCTGTCCCTCTACAGGAGGAATATTCGAGAATAGTCAAAAATCAGTCCGGGGACTGTTTCTTGACTTTTTGAAAGCATTAGGGGAGTATTCTTTGGGTATTTCTAAGTTCTCGTCCAGCATCCCCCGGCAGGGGGACAGGCCCGACCTAATGCTAATCCTGCTCCCCCTGGGCCCGATTGGAGGCCTGAGCTGGCCCAGTGCTGGTTCCAGCCCGCAGGAAGGGCGGGCAGGCTCGAGGCGCCGGGTTCGGGATGGGGTTGTACCTCTGTCGGCCTCTCGGGGCCGGCTTCGGGTCCCGGGACCGTGAGGAACTGATCCGGGATGAGAACTTGCACCAGGTGGGCCCAGGGATGGGTCTGGGGAATGACTTTGAGCGGAGCTGGCCTCGTTCCCCCCTCCTGGCAGAAGTTCCGTGGACCTCCCAGTTGTCTCCAACTTGTCCCCATCCTTCGTCGTCCGCCAGGCTCGCCAAGCGCTTCCACTCCTCGACCATGACGCAGCTTGCATCCAGGATCGCCGCTGTGATCAAGCTCAAGGGTGCCAGCGGCGAGGACCCGAGGGATGCTACCTAAGCGCAACGAGGGTGAAGGAACCCCAATCCTGGCGAAACTGTCTCACATTAGGCCCCGCATTCAGACGAGCAAGTGACTGCGCCGCGCAGTCATTCCGCCAAGCCCGTACAGTATGTCTGTACAGCACCGCGGCCTGCTAGGGCGATTGCATCCACATGCTGCCATATCCATCTCACACTCGCATGTCAATGTTGGGTGCACTTCCTCGCGCAGGACCCCTTCGCGAAAATTAAGGGGATGATCGAAGACATCCGGCTGCCTGAGGCAGACCCCGCCACCGCGCCAGCGCAGCGGCGCAGCGAGCAGGAGATTGAACTGAAGACCCGCTGTCATCTAGCGCGCGGTCCGAACTCGAGTGGGTCTTACATCACCGATGACATAATACTCCCTCACCCCGATATCACGATGTTGACGTTACCTCGCGTAGGTACGCGTCTTCGCAGTAGGGATAAAACATCTGTGCGGTTTGGTCTGATACATCTGCGGAAAAGGCCCCGTGGCCCGCCTAACTTCGGTCCCCTCCCAAAGGGTCGGGGATCCTTTTATTTCCCATCAGTAAACTCAGCCTCGTTCCCTCGACTCCTGCGGCCCTCCAGCTCTTCGTGGCCTCCTGGAGGGCCTCTCCTGGGACCCCCTCTCAGCCTGTTGTTAAGTCGGGCATGTCCCTCAGCCTAGAGGAGGAATAGTAAAGAATAGTCCAGGAATGGTAAAATGACGAGTATGTTTTTTTCGTTTCTTAAGTGTTTGCTTATGCTTGGCTATTATTTATGTTTTTTTCCCGAATCCGCCTGTAGGAGAATTTGCCCGACCTGAGCCTACTCTGGGGGCCTCTTGGGCCGTCTGAGGGCTCCCTTGGCCCGTCTGATGCCTTCGGATGCCGTTTTTGGGAGCCTATCTGGGCCGTCTTGGAGTCCTCTTGAGGCGAGTTCGGGCAGTCACGGAGGAGGGCTCTTTGATTGCCTTTGGCTCTCGTGGGGCCATCTTGAGGGTCTCTTTGGCCGTCTCGGGGTCTCCTGGGGGCCCCTTGGACCATCGTGGGGCCCGTCTTGGGGGCTTCTTGGGCCCTCTTGCGCGCCCTTGGGACCGTCTTGGGCGTCTGGAAGCCCCTAACGACGAGTATGCTAAATCCTTACGCCCAAAGGGGATCAATGCTGTTTGCTTGTTGGGCGTACTCGTGCGACCAGTCGGGGGCCTCTGGAGGACATCGTGGGCCGTCTGAAAACCATGTTGGGGCATCTGCGGGCCCGTTTGCATTGATTGCGGGCGCTTTGGTGGGCCTTCTGGGCCGTCTTGGGGCGATATAAGCTGTCCTGGAGGGATGTTTGCAAGTCTCGAAGCCTGGTTGTGGCCGCCTGTTGGGCCGTCTGTCGCCTTCTCGGGCGGTCTTGGGGCCATCTTGGATGCATATTGGGCAGTCTGGGATCTTCCTTTGGGGCTCTTTGAACCGTCTTGGACGGTCGGAGGCCCGAAAAGGCGAGTAGGCTAAACTCATTCAAAATCTACGTGTAATCAGTGATTGTGTTTTCTTGAGGGCGTCTTTGGCGTCCTCTTGGAGCCATTTTGACGCGTCTTCGGGGCCTCTTGGACTATGTGGAACCGTCGTGCCCCTCCCCCTTGGACCGTCTCGAGACCCGCTTGGACAGTCTTTGGACCATCAAGGGGCATTTTGAACCGTCTTGGGGCGATCGTGACTGTTGCTTCGTGGTCTGCGTTAGTGTTGGGGCCGTCTGGAAGCCGAAAAGAGCGCCAGAGAGTAAACCCAGGGGGCGGAGGGATTTTCTGATGGCGCGCACAGAGCAGGACAGGAGGGGGTCTACCCTAGAAAACATTAAAGAGACCTTACGGCTGGCGTTGCAACGATAGCGTGCGACGTGGCGGCGCCGGCCCGCATATTACACGCTTTCCCTTCCTTTGGGGATATCGTGCGCCGAAGTTTCAGGAGGGGAAAAACACACACAGACACAATTAATCGGCAATTCCCAGAAAATATGGGAAAATATGGGAAGTGGGGGGGAAGACAAAAACCCAGAAAATATGGGAAAATATGGGGGATATTTTTATTTGTGTGTATTTATTTGTGTGTCCCAATTCCCCTTCAAAGTTGCCCTGTTGAGTGGATGGCGTGCGCAGAAGGGGCCCTCGCGGGGGGATCGCCTCGCAGGGACAGCGCGCACGAAGGACGCTTGCTTTTGGGGGATCGCGTGCTTTTCGGAAACCAGTGTTGCATGCTGCATTTGCGACGCCAGTCGTACCAGAGCAGCGGGGCAACACGCCCCGACGTGCACAGGGCACGGTGGCGGATGATCGCGAAGCTGGAGCTGGAGGCGGCATCTGCGGCCGAGGAGAAGGCCTACTGCGACGACGAGATGTCGAAGACTGGCGAAAAGAAAGGCGAGCTGGAAGATGACCTTGAGAAGCTCGCTGCGAAGATGGACAAGACCGAGGCTAGCTCAGTAACGCTGAAGAACGAGGTGAAGCAACTGCAAACCGAGTTGGCGACCTTGGCGAAGTCGCAGGCTGAGATGGACAAGATTCGCCACGACCAGCGGGTAATGCACATGTAACATATTGGTTCAAACACGCAGCAGCAAATCCCATCGGTGCGATTTCTGCTTAGACTGTCGGAAGCTTGCAACAAAGTTGTGAATTGTTTAGCCCCACCAGCCCATCCAGCAACGATGCCTGAGCGAGTCGCATTGGTCAGAAAAGCGTGGGGGCAAGCAGTGAAATAAAGAGGGGGGCTAGCCGCCATTCAGAAGAGTGGGATCAGCCTGAACAGGACAAGGAAACAACCATACATGACTTCGCTGACCTTTGGGTCTGGGAGCTTGTTGGCAGCTTACTTGGGCCATCGTGCAGCCATCTTGGAAGCCTTCGGAACTCACTTGGGGCCCTCTCGGGGCTCTCTCTGGGCCCTCTTGGGGGCCTCTTAGGGGCCTTGGAGGCGCTCTTGGGGCCATCTTGGAGGCCATCGATAAAAACAGGGGGGAGGGGAGGCGAAGACTGTCCTCTTGCGGACCTCTTGGGCCGCTATTGGTGCGCTCCTTGAACGCTCGTGGGGCCGTATCGGGGCCCCTCTTTGGGCCAGCCTGGCCATCCTGGAGCCATCAGGAGGCCCACAAGCCGATTGAAAGCGAAAAGGCTGGAAGGCTAACAGATATTCAAAAACTCAATGTTTCTGAAAGATACTGGCTTCCTGGGCGCTCACTTGGGGGTCTCGGAGAACACTCGGAGCCGCCCTGAGGCGGTCTTGAGAGCTCTTGTAGGCGTGTTTGAGTCTATCGTGAACAATGTTTGGCTGTCTCGAGCGATCTTGGAGGCCATCTTGGGCTCTCTGGCGCTCTCTTGGAGCCACCTGGGGCCGTCTTGGGCGCCCTAACGCCTCGCGGCCCCACCACCCCACCCCGTCCAGACCCGAAGGGGGAAATGGGGGTTCGCAGAACGAGCTCCTCAAAACATCGCCCAGGGGCCCGGTGGGATTCAGCGCGACCAATAGGAGCAACGAGCGGACTACATCAAGGCAAAGGCGGAGTTGGACGAGGGCCTGGCAGGGTTGCGGAAGGCCCTCGAGATTTTACGTCAATTCTACGGCTCCAAGGAGGCGGCGGCTATGCTGCAGAGCGGCTCCGACCTCGGCGACTTCATGGCACAGCCAGCGAAACCGGTGATGCACAGCAAAAGCACTGGTGCGGGCCAGGGTATCGTCGGCATCCTTGAGGTGTGCGCGTCGGATTCGTCGAAGAATTTGGCCAAGATTGAGCAGGATCGGGGGAGCGTAAGACCCGGGTTTGCCGGGACTCGGGTTCGCCATCGTTTTTTGACGACCGCGCTTCGGATTTTGACGAGGAGGAGTTTCGCGGGATGTCTGCAGCGGGAGGCCTCGTCAAAATGCAGGCTCGGCCTCGCCATTTTTTTGACGACCTCGTCGGGGATTTCCGAGTCCCCCGTACCCGGGTCTTACGTCTCCCCGACAGGAGGAGGACGACGAGCAGACCTACTACGAGCAAATGACGCAGGAGAACAAGAAGACGACGGAGCTCAAGGCCGGAGCGGGGGCGCGTCTGCCATTCTCGTCTGCTGCTCATGTGCATCGCCCCCCTCCGAGAACAAGGGCCCCCTCGAGGGCGCGAAGTTATTCGCGCGTCGCGCTTCGCCGTCCTCCTTCCTCCTCCCCCTCCTCCTCGTCCTCCTATTCTCCCTTTGGGAGGGCGGCGCGAGAGCGCGAAGTTATTCGCGCTCTCGCGCTTCGCGGAGCGCGGAGCGCGAAGCTGGGAGCCCTTGGAGAAGTGCGCCAACAAACTGTCGTTTGAGTGCCTGTTCTTCCTCATGTCGCGTTCGTTGAATAGATGGTCTGTCGGTTGTCCTGTCCCGCCGTCTCCCTCCTGAATCTGTCCTCTGCACCCTTCTCTCCCACGTGCTCTCTCCTCTCCTCCCCTCCCCCTTTGCGCCAATAGAGGGGAACAATTACTGAACACTCCCCCCTCTCCCCAAACTCAATGTTGGCACGCGCGGGGGAGACTGCGGTCGAAGTGCATCTCATCAGACCCACCGCCAACTTTGAACATTGGGGGGAGGGGGAGGCGTTGACGGATGAATGTGGCATGAGTGTTCGCTAATTTGTTCCGAGGCCTGGCGCGCCCTCTGTGCGTTGTAAGGCATACCAGATGTCGGCCACGCTCCTGGGCCCCCTGATGGGGCCCTGCATGGCGGCTCCGTGCGGGCGCCCAGATGGGACCTCGCCTGCGCTCGGCGGCGAGCGAGGGGGGGGAAATGAGAAGGAGAAGGCCTTCTCGGAAGGCAGCTGGACTTAGAAGCCCTCGCGCCTGCTGAGAAGTAATTTTCTTAGTTGCCTCGATACGCCCGTTTTGAAACGCAACACGTCCCGTGTTCAAGACGTCCGCGTCAATACGTTGCGTGTTGGCTCCACGTTTTGGACCGCGTTTTGGCGAATGTATCGCGTCGGACCCACGTTTCCAGCCTGCGTGTTGAGCTCCGTATCAATACGCTACGTGTTGCGTGTTGCGTATCGCGTCGGGGCAGCTAAGGTTATTTTGTGTTTTGGGGAAGGCAGAGGACACTTTTCAAAAGGCCTGGGGACTTCCGAGACTTCTGAGAAGGCCCGCCCCTTCTCACTTCCCCTCCTCGCTCGCTGCCCATCCACGGTACGGTCGCTGCCAAATGTAGAACGGACCCAGACAAGATTTTCCGTCCAGACGGGGGGGGGGGGCGGACGGGGCTTGGCCGAGGATCAATCCGTTCCAGAGAGCTCTCAGGGCATTGTGGAACGCTCTGAGAAGGCCGCGGCGCCCGGTACATCCTTCAGAGCCGCCGGATCGCAGAGTCTCGATTTATCCTCGCCCGGATTTGTCCTCGTCCTGGCTTCGTTTTAGGGCGGGATTTGTCCGCCCAGACCGGCGCCGACAGCAAGCAGCAGCACACTCGCGGCAGCACCATTGAGGCCTCGCGGTTGTTCTCGGCTCTCCTCGCTCCAAGAAGTAACCGAAACACAAAAATAATCCAACCCATAATTGGTGACCCGTTCCGCGGGCCCATTGTCTGTCTTCTCTCTTTTGTTCGGCCCACCACCGTTGTCAGATGCGTCGACCTTGCGATCGGAGATGTGGATTGTTGTTGAAGCTTGGGCGAACCGACACTTTGAACATTTGGGATGGCATACCGGCCACACAAGCGAGGATATTCGGCCGATGGCCTGATTTCCCACTGGCTCTGGTCTTATATGCATCACCCTGTTCCTTCATCGAGTGTCGGATTTATGTCTTACCTTTTTGCTCTTGTGAGGCCCTCGGGAGCTCCCAGCGATTTTCAGAGATCTGGCCAGAATATTGTTACACTGAATATTATTGGATCCCTCCTGGGAGCATTCCCTGGTCAGATTTGGCCACACTGAAAGGCGCAGGATGTCACCTACAAAGTCCAGGAGTTCAAGAGCTTGGACAAGTCCCTGGCAGACATGGGTTCGGACAAGGAGAGTATGGATGCGCAGCTGAAGGCAGTCTTGGAGTACTACGCCAAAGTCAAGGATGGGAAACAACAAGCGGCCCCAAACATTTGTCAGGCAAGTGTAGGCATAATAGGTTATGGTCTCGGGCGTTTCATTAGGGCAGCTCATAGGGGAGAGGCAGTCTGGAAAACCATGCATGTGTCGGAGATCGGCCTGTGCTTCCAGCTGGTTCAGGGACCGCTTTGTCGCCAACGCGAGCTGACTGTGATGCCTATTACGTTGTGTCTACACCCGAAGTCACCAGATCGGTGATGGTGGCGACGCTATCGACGGCCATAATGATGCTCACGATGTGGTTACGTCATGGCCGTTCCGCTTCAACGTAATGCTTACACACAAATTGTGGTTTGAATTCGAGATTTGGGATTTTGCTGTGGAATGGGAACTGGGGGAGGTCGGTCCGTGGGGGTCCATTCCCCACGTGGTATTTGACCCGGGCGTAGTTGTTTCGATTAGTGCTGCACTGCGTTGCTTTTTTTCACATTGCACTTCTTTGCACTGTTTTGCGTGGCACTGCTGTGCGTTGTACACCATGTGTGCAACATTGCTGTGCGGTGCATTGCGCCAACGTTGCAACGCGCCGCAGCAATTCAACGCATCGCAAGTTGCAACGAACTTGGAATGAATTGGTGGACACAACTCCAATACACATCGAAGCAGAACAAAGCAACACCCGTTAAGGCAAGCAGTGCAATGCAATACTAATGGTTGCGTTCATGATCAATACAATATGGTTGCTATTTGCGAGCTCCGCGCAGGTTCAGGTTTTTCGCCCATCCTGCTGATCATTACCACCATTATCATCGACAACGTCATCACCATCATCGCTGCCACTTCTACCATCATCTGTACCATCATCAGCAGCATCTTCGTCACCAGCCATGCCCTCATCGCAGTCGGCAGACTCATCGCAACAACAACCTATATTGTTCGACATGTTGTGCTTCCAAACGCAGGCGTACCGTACAGGTTGGCCCCCAATGGTCCAACACGTAAATGTGTTGTATCGTTTGTGCTCCTGGGCCCCCAAGCGTAAACTTGTCGTGATTTTTTGAATTCCCTTCAGGCCTCCCGTCTTATGTTTCCCACTCAAGGCGAATGTCGTAAACGCTTTCCAAACATATGTTTTTTTTACTCCTGGTTCTCACAGGCGCAGAACCTTCGCGATTTGTTGGCCCCTGGTGCTTCTAGGGTACTGCCAGATCGCGTTGTGGGCCTTCACGGGAGACGGAGCCGTCTCTGGACATCCGTAATGGCTTCGCCCCTTGCCGCCGGCCCCCTCGGATCTTGGGGCCTACAAGAATTTTGTTGTGAAGCCTGGGTGCTCGCTTCGACCAAATCATGTTATCCCAGGTCATCGCAACTTGGCTTAAGTCATCCCTTTTCTTCCCATCATGTGTTAATCGTCGCAGCTCAGCCCAAGCTCAGCTCGGCCACGCCCAAAGTTCAGCTCTTCTCAGTTGCAGCTTAGCTCAGCTTGTCCTGGCACGGTCCCTAGTCTAGCTCAGGCCCCGACGTTCGTACGTTCGGCCATTGAGGCCGGTTGTCGTTGCCTTCGCGGTGCAACGACCAGCATGACCTCAATCCGTTTCGACCCACACCTTACCAGTCGAGCCGCCGACAACCGCAAAGTGAGGATAGCAGAACACACAATATCTGGAACGCAAGAGAATGTACGTCGCGTCAGTGCCCCTCTCGCTTGGTGGGCCCATCTGATGGTTTCAAAAGAAAGCTACAGTCGAACTGCTGCCACAAGGAACCCTAAATAAGGAACGAGGCCCCTTTTTTCCACACGTTGAACTTCGATTGCCCATGGCAATCCGAAGGAACACCTATATTAAAAACAACACACTTGAGGAGCACTGAGCCCCTCCCCAACGAGAAGGGTTCCTTATACAGCGGCCCGACTGTAGGCCGGGAGCCCACACGGGCATGATCACCCTCCAGGGAGCATAGACAATCGGTCGACAGTGTCCCAGGGACCCTTCCGGGCAGCAGTGGCGATGATGGCGGTGTTATTCTGGCGGTGATGATTTGGGTCTTGTCGTGATGAGGACCGCTGCGTCGCCAAACCCGAGGGCTACGAAGAGCGCAAGAGGCGTCGCGATGCCGAAGTAGCTGGGTTAAAGGAGGCACTGAGCATCCTGGAGTCGGAGACCGCGTTGGTGCAGGTTCGCTCGAGGAGCGAGAAGTAATATGGGAGGGGGGTAAACATCAAGAGAGAGAGAGAGATGTATAATCAAGAGAGAGAGAGAGAGGGAACAAAATAAACATAAAAAAATAAAGTGAGTAAAAGGGAGAGGGAGCTCCGCGCGGATCTCTTGGATCTGCGCTGGGCCCCCCTGGCGGCGCCTCTGGCGACGTGCCTGGCGCGCTCCGCGCGCCACGGAGGGGGGCCCAGCTCGGATGGAAGACATGCGCGCGGACCGTCGACAGCTTATGTTTAGGATGTTTTTTTTGTGTCTTTCCCTCTCACTCTATAGAGAGAGAGAGAGAGAGAGAGCAAGGGCTCCCTCGAGGGCGCGAAGTTATTCGCGCTTCGCGCTTCGCGGTCCTCGTTCCTTCTCCCCCTCCTCCTCGCCCTCCTTTTCTCCCTTTTGGGGGGCGGCGCGAGAGCGCGAAGTTATTCGCGCTTCGCGCCTCGCGCAGCGCGAAGCGCGAAATTGGGAGCCCTAGGAGAGAGAGAGAGAGAGAGAGAAAACAAAAACACAAAAAAAAGGCCAGCACGATGACGGACGCAATGAGAGTCGCCGCGTGCGCTCAGACCACGAACTGCAGCGTCCACCAGGGAACGGGAAGACGTGGGCAGAAGAGGGCAGAAGAGGTGAGAACGGAAGGAGGCAAGGGGCGCGTTGGAAGAGAATGGGGGTGGGAGGAATGGGGGGGGCGGGATGAGGTGGTGAAGCAGAGAGAAGGGAAGAGCGGGCACGAGAAGGCGGATCAGAGTTCAAGCCCACATGCGGACGCATTGCTGCGAATTATTTGGCGGCATGTGCCATGTCGCCCTTGCCCACGACTTTACTGTAAGTCCCCGCCGCAATTATTAACCCCCTCAGGGAGAAGAATGAGATCCACTGGGGGGCCCGCTTCCCAGTCACACCAGCCCTCTCCCCTGTCCATCCCCCTCTCCGTCCACCGTCCCTTCCCTCCTCCATTGTTTCCATTCAATTCACTTCTCTCCCCGTTCATCTTTCCTTACCTTCCGTCCTGTCCCGTCTAATCTGGTTCCGCCCTGTCCGGTCCCATCTTGTCCCCTCCCTCCCTCCCCTTCCTAAGTTCCCTCCCGCCTGCCGTCACTCCACCTACGCAATTCCCCTCCCCCTGAGGAGCCCTTGACAGCTCTCAGAAGCTCCCGAGGACATCCCTTTCCCTCGAACTGCTTCCGAGGCCCCCCCCCCCACTGTCTCCTGAGGCCCAGGTGCCCAAATCCCCACCCTGCAAGCCCAGAGATCGGACGGTTTGCTCTTTTCAGGGCGGGGCCCCCGGATGTCCCGACCTCCCGACCCTTTCCCCAGGGCTGGCTTGCCATCTCGAACTCAGGGGCGGACCTAAACGGTATTTTAACGATTTCGTGGGCCGTGCTCGTGTCGATTTCGCTTTGCGTGATATAATAGGCGGGCTGAAGACAACACGAGGGAAAACGAGAGAACAATACGAAAACGGAGACCACCGTTTAGGTTCAGGCCCTGCCCCCGACCCTTTCCCCAGGGCTGGCCTGCCATCTCGAGCTGCTGTCTTGGAAGGGCCTGGGGCCCGACGATGGCACCCGGAGGCCGAGAGCGGCGAACAACTCCGCCGTAAAGCGATCGATGCCTCGGAGGTCTTGGGATGCCCCTTTCCCTCAAACTGTGTGGAGAAGGAGGAGGAGGAGGAGGAGGACGAGGAGGAGGACGAGGGGGAAGAGGAGGAGGAGGAGGACGAGGAGGAGGACGAGGGGGAAGAGGAGGAGGGGGAGGAAGAGGAGGAGGAGGAGGAGGAGGAAGAGGAGGAGGGGGAGGAGGGCAGGGGGAGGAGGATGAGAAGGAGGATGAGGAGGTGGAGAAGGAGGAGGTAGAGGAGGACCAGCATGAGGACGTTTTTGTTTATCCACCAAAGGAATAACACGTGCTACCCCCCCTGCCCCTCATCCACCCCCCTAACTGCAACGCTTTGGCCCTGTCCAGCGTGCGATCCCGAGCAGCCTAAGACCCTGTGGTGCACGCGGGCACTACTGGTGCCGCGGTGCACGCGGGCGTTCACTATGGTGTACGCAGGCGCTGCGGTGTACGCGTTGTGGCGCACACTTTTGTCGTTACAGCAGCGGCTGTGGTGTACACAGGCGTAGTGGGTATACGCAAGCATTGCGGTTTACACATCACAAGCCCTGTGGTGCACACAGGCGCCGTGATGTACATAGCCGCTGTAGCGCGCAAAGTCGCTAGGATGTGAGCGTGCGCTGTGAGCTACAATGTACCCACTCACATCTTCCTACTTCTTCCTCCTCCTTCTTCATCTTCGTCCTCCTCGTCGTCGTCCTCCTTGCGTATACAGGACGCGGGAATTATGGTGAACACGCGCATTCTGGTGCACGCGAGCCTTGTGGTGCACACAGGCGTTGTACTTCACACTCGCTGTTTGCTCACAATGTCCAGGCGTTCCTCGGGCCACAATAACCAATAATCTGATCACATATTGAATCTGGTACAGTGGGGCCCCCAGCGATTTCCCCGACTTTCGCTCCGTCGGGGCTGTAGAGGTGTACTCAAGCTTTGTGGTAAACGCAGGCACTGTGGTGCACGCGGACGGGTGCTGAAACAACAGCTTTGGTGCCAATAATCGCAGGCGTTGCGGTGCAGACGGCTGCTGTGGTGTACGCAGGCATTGCGCTGTATATAGGCGCTCCCATGCTGACAAGTATGGCTGCCATCATGGTGTGCATCTTGGCAGTGCTCTTGGGAAAAGAGCGCGGGCACCGAGCTCTCGACCCATCGCGGGGTTCCTTTTACCTTTCCTCCTCCTCCTCCTCCTGGTGCTGCTGTTCCCCCTGCTGGTCCTGCGTACATCCCCTCGTATGACGCCGCTCCGCGCGCCCCCAAATCGCGTGGTGTTCACGGGCGACGTGGTTCGCGCACACATGGCTATGGCGTACACATGTGTAGTGGGCCCTACATTTCCGAGCGCCTTTGGGCCAGAAAAACATGTAATCACGATCGCTTCAGATGTTGAATTTGAAAGGTCCGGCCCCCCAGCGATTTTCCGGAGGTGCACAGGGGGGGCTGAAACAGCAGCTGTGGTGCACGCGGGCGCTGTGGTGTGCACAAGCAGTGTGATGTACAAAGGTGCTGTGGTGCACGCGGTTGTTTTGGTGTATGCAGTCGCCGTGGTGCACACACATACCCTTTCTGTAGCAGTCCTGGCGCACACATTGTGGTGAACAGCGCCCGTGTTGTGTAAATCGGCATTGTGGGCTTGGACGGAGACGACGACGACGACGACGACGACGACGACGACGACGACGACGACGACGACGACGATGACGACGACGACGACGACGACATACGCGGCGCGTCTCGGTCGGTGCGCGCCGCGGCCCCCGTTGCCCCCCCCCCCCCCCCCTGCACCCCCCCCCCCTGTTATCCCTCAGGTGTAAAATTTTGACCGCTCACGGTGGTGAGTCGGTGGGGATTCAGGGTCACCGCACGGTTTTGGGACTCGCGTCGTTCCCCGAGGACGCCTCACACGACTTGGGCCACCAGGATCCCAAAACCGTATGGCGACGCAGAGCCCCGTGAGGCCCTTGGGCATTTCGAGCTTACCATGCGGTCCGTCACCACACGGTTTCGGGGCCCCGGGTTGATGTTCTGCGATGTTCCCCCAGTCACCTCCCAGGAGGGCCACCAGGCAGACGTTCCTGCGCCTGTGAAGCCTTCCCAACGAGACGGGGCACCGCCCGCGAGCGGGACTGCTGCGGTTTGCCCGCGCGCCGTGAGAGGGCGAGTATACTCTTCGTCGTCGTCTGCGTCGTCGTTGTCCTCCTCCTTCTCCTCCTCCTCCTCCTCATCGATCCTCCTCCTCCTCCTCCTCCCCCCCCTCCTCCTCCTCCTCCCTCCTACTCCTCCTCCTCCTCCCTCCTCCCACCCCCTTGCGCGATCCCCTTTTTTTTACTCCTCCTTATCCTCTTCCTCTGTGCCTCCTCTTTGCGTTGGAAAAACGCTAGGTGGCGTGAGCCTTGGCATCTTTCTTCTCCTCCTCCCCATGCTCCTCCTCCTGTATCTCCTCCCTCCTCTTGTCCTCTTCCTCCTCCTCCTCCAAGGGCCAGGGATTTGACCATGGATGAACTGTTTTCGCATATGGGGCCAGTGGTTCGATCATACATGAACCTTTTTGAGTTCTATGCATCGGTGGGCACGGATTCGATCATGAATGAACCTTCCGGGTTTTTGTGTTTAAGGTCAATGGGTTCGATCATGGATGGTTTGTTGCCTACTTGCGTCTTGGCCCAGCGATTCGATCATTGAAGCACCTGGCGGGTCCTTGCGTCTGGGGCAACGGATTCATTCATGGATGTGCCTTTCGTTTTTTCCCCGTCTGGGGGCAAATATTCAGCCATGGATAGACCTTCAGTGATTTTGCGTCAGTGGCCATGGCACAGCGTAGCATATTTTCATATTTGCTGGGCGATTGACAAGCTTGAAACTGAAACTGAAGACTCAGCGGCTTAAAAGCAGCAGCGCGCGCCTGATGAGCGCTAAAGGGCTCGTCAAATATATGGCGAGGGGCACGGAGAGACGGAAATCGAGGGAAGGAGAGAGAGAAAGAGAGAGTGAGAGGGATGTAGAGAGAGCAGGAGAGAGAGAGAGAGAGAGAGTACGCATCGTTCAAATCCTGTCCCCTGGTTCGCGTATGTCACGCCTCGTCGCATGTCGCTCAGGGAGGGCATCGTGTCTGTCGCGCAACATTGGTGTGGCGGCTTGCCTTTGTATGTGAGGTGGTCTGCACTAGAGTTGTTTCGTTTCTTGTAAGAGGAAGTGTTTGGCGCACGGTCGTTGGAGGGCGTTGTTTTGGATTGGTCGTGGAAGGGCGTTGCATTTGAATGTGTTCACATTGAACGAATCCCCTATGCAGCGGCAGTTTTTTACGCTCGTTGCCATCGTTACGTATGGCGAGTGTACATGGCATCGGTGTAGGTCATCATTCGGATAGCTTGTCTTGTGAAGCGCGCGTAAGACCAAGTGCATTGCAGCGGGAGCTCTCCAGACTTCCCTCCATGCGCAATGCTACGAATGTGGGTCGATGTGCTGTCGACGGTGCCGGTGCATTGCTCAGCAGATATTTTTGTGAAGTCCGGATGGTGGCAAGAGAGATTGGCTGCGTAGAGGGCAATCTTAACACCCGCTTCCCTTCATTATGGTACGTCTGTGATTGACCTTGTGTTTTTCTGTTTCACGTCGGGCGCAAAAAGTATTGTGGATAACCGCAGACGGGAGCTTGGATGTCTTCTTGTTGGAAGAGGGTGCACGTATTGCAGCATCAACATAATTCGACAGCCGTTGCAGTGGTGCTGTAGAAGTGATTTCTGCCGCTGGCAAGTACATATGTTTTCTCATGTGCTTTTGGCAATCAAGAGAAGCCGTCAACGAATCCGACGCACACATTGCCAACTCTATACAAGAGCTGTTTCAGGTAGTCCATGTTCGTGCTTTTCCATGCATTTCATGTTCAGACGTGGGCAGCTCATATGGCGCATTGGACCACCCTGCAGGAAGATCGTTCAGCAGTATGGTTTGCAGATGGTCTCTGCTACAACTTGGGTTGGCTGGAAAACAATGGAGGCAAAGCGCGAGTGAGCTCTAAGAGAAAACCTTCGGCTCTGCTCTTTCTGGCCCTCCTGGCATTGGAAAGTTGGCACATGCCCGTCAAAATGTGCGGCACGGTTGGGGCGTTGGTATGTTGTTCCTGAGCCAAGCCAATACAGGCGAATTGGACGCGCATGGACAATATCCTATTTCGCAGGCTGTGAAGTAAGGGCGATACAATGATGGGTCAGCTGTGATTCCGGTTGATGAAACCGATGGCAATCAAAAGATCAGTAGTGGTGTCTTTGCACAGATATGTCAGGCCGTTGATGGCGCAGTGCTTGTTAAGGAGCGCTTCAGCATCACAGCAATCGCAACGATGAGCAAACATAAACATGCGTTGCCAGAGGACCTGGTTGGGGGAGCCAGAGCATTGATTCCACCTGAGCGCCTCTCATGCACAGAGGACCTACTGGTGCATGGGAGGCATAATGTCCGATATCTATCCACGGCTCGAGTATGAGTCAGTTGTTCTTCTCTAGTGCTTGCACTGAGGGGTATATGCTCATCTACGACTATCGGCGTTGCCAATTTGCGGTCGCACATCTCGTTGGAAGTTTGAGGGGAAGCGGCATTGGGCGTTGGAGCAACAGCCCCGTGACTTCCCAAGGCACTTGCAGGAGAGGCGAGGGTTCTCCTTTAGCCACGCTATAATATGGTTTCAGGCGTCGCATGTTGTTGGCAATAATGGATCGCCCGTCCCTCGAATAGCAACAGCCCGCTGAGATGTAACAGGGTATCCCACAGAAAACTCGAGTTTGCTTGCTGAGGCCAATGTCCAGGGCAAAACCTACTTGGCAAGCGATCCGTCATCTATGCGAGTTCTCGAAATTTACAGAAAGTGCCTGAAGTCTTTGAAATGATCAGTTTTGATTGTGCTTCCTGGTCCCATGTGTAAAACCATGAAGCATCACTTTCGATGTCTGTTCATGGGAGCCTTGGGCGGCGACATTGAACTCAGCTTTTCCTCCATGTGGACAGCGTGGAGACCGCATTTGGCCCATCCTCCTGCTCCTCCTCTCCCCTCCTGTTCCCTCTCCCCCTCCTCGTTCTCCTGCGTAGCCCCCACGAATACAGTCCAGGTCTGGTCCAAATCCGGTCCAAATTTGTTCCAAATCCGGTCCAAATCAGGCCCAAATTGGGCAGTGCCAGGGGCCACGCAGGCTCCCATGGAACGGACACCAAAATCACTTGTGGGTCGTAGAACTATTTGCGCATGGGCCCGGATTCCATCACAGAAGTAGTCAACAACGTCGGGTGTGCCCTAAGTGTTGGCAGTCGATGACATGTCGTGATCCTCGAGAAACGCAGCCGACGACCTTTCAGGCTTGCACGTTTGCCGCCGACCCCTTGAGAAACATAGCCTAGGATCCTGCTGTGTGACAGGGTCGTTGCTGGCAGCTGGATGGCCAGGGTGCTGACGTAGTTCAGGAAGCCAGCCCACCCCCAGAAGAAAGCTAGCCTGTGATCATGCTGGCTGGCAGGCCTGGACTGGTGGTGCCTCAGGCTGAGGCATATTCTGGGTTGTTTGGGTTGTTTGGGGACTCCGAGTGCATATTAAGAGCCATCTGGCAATAGCAACGTCGCAGGATGAACATGTGAATCCTTTGAAATATGGAGGCGCTGTGCATGGGAGGCGGGGGGCAGGGTCCTGGAAGGTGCAAACGGAAATGGTAATGCAGTTGTGAGCCCTTTAAACAAGTTTGGTTTTGTGGCCCCCTTGTGCCCATGGTTGTTTTGCAAGGATCGGCGGGCCAGAATGCTATCGGACCGGATAGTGAAGTTGGGACCGCTTCAAGACAAGCGTGGTTCCCTGGCTAGTTTGGCTGACTGGCAGGGACCACCTGGCCAGACGGTTAAGGGAGTCAAGGCCGCAGTTGTGAGCCCTGCTAAAAAATCTTGGCTGACTGGATCCTTGGATTGCTTGGCTGACTGACAAGGGGGCAGCTATGAGCTGTGAGCCCTACTGAACTACCTTGGTTGCTTGGCCCCTTGGCTGGATCCAGTGCTGGTGGGTTGGAGAATGGTGGTTCGTGACTTCTTGGCAGGTAGCTTTGTAAGCCTGGTAGCCGAACGCGCTCGACATCCATCAGGGGACGGCGGACTTGTTTTGTGTGCTTGGCTCTTTCGCCCGCTTCAAGCAGGCAGCTGACTTGCAAGGGGCAAGCTGAGAGCCTTACGAAACTGCCTTCGTTGCTTGGCTCCTTCCACCGCTTTAGCGTCGCGGGAACTCTATAGTAGGGAGAACGAACATGGAGTAGGAACGAGGGAGTAGAGGGAGGGGCAAATGAAAAGGTGCCGTGGACAGGCGAGGCCGTCATAGACGGACGCTGGCTTCTTGACATGAACATGTGAGAAAAGGGGCAGCGAGGAGGAGGAAGAGGAGGAGAACGATGAGAGGGAAGAGGGGAGGAAGAGGAGGAGGAGGAGGAGGACGACGACGAATGATTTGGGAAGTCTCTTGAGATCGGTTTCGGATGTCGTGGAGGCATGTGTTGGGCTAGGCCTTTGAGAAGTGCTTTGGGCATGTAACAAGGCTTTTAGGGGGCCCTTTTGAGACCTCGGGGGGGTTCTTTGGAGCCTTTTGCAGGGGCTGCAGGGTATTTGAAGGTTTTGTGGGAGCTTCTTGGGGGTTCCTTGGTGGCATGTTCAAGGTCTTGGGGCCAGGTTGTAGGGGGGGGCTCCTTGGGAACATTCGAGCTTTCCCTCTTGGGACGCTCTTGGGGTCCTCTTTGGTAGTCTTGGGGGCTTATTGGGCCGTGTTGGGGCCATCTTTGGCTGTCTCTGGGTCCTTTTGTGGTTTGGCCCTGGTGCTATCTTTTTGACAGGGACGTCAGGAGCTTTTCTGGTGGCTGCGTGAATGTGAAAGGTGCGCACGTGCACAGGACATCTAGCATGAAACAAGGAATTTGAGACTCTTACACACGCCTGTCTAGATCCGTACCAGCGTGGTTGATATTCCATGGTATCGTGTGCAAGGTGAGCAATCGTGAAGAATCCATATGGTAAGCAACCGCACCGAGGGGGATTGGGTCGGGCATTGGTTTCCAATGTAGTTGTAGCTTATGTGGCAGGGTCCATGTGAAACCCCCGCATACTGCAATCGGCGGTCGCTGCGGGTCAACATGCAGGTGGCTTCCCCGCTTCAGGTACAACGTGTCGACCACTTTTGCATGTCAATGATTGGTCCGAGTCGTTGCTTCGACGCTCCAAGCGTCGAGACATCACCAAGTATTGTGATCAGCCTCGTCACAGATTTTTTCGGGTGCGCAATGGCCGGTTGATCCCATTGCCTTTCAATGGTATGCGCTAGCCGTGCACACCATACATGTTCGATCAGTCGTCCCCGCAACAGTCCAGAACAAATTGTCTCAGAGTCATCCCAGTTGAGATCAACATGATATTGTCCTAAATCCCTTTTGGCTGCTGCCTTGCAACATGGATGGTACATGCTAGAAGAGTCAGAACAGTGTGTGGGCGTCCATCGCGTGTTGGTTTCCAAAGCACCTTTCTTTCTTGCCTCTCCCCCTCCTCATCCCCCCTCCCATCACCCCACCTGCTCAATACACTCCTTTTGGAGGTGACGAACGCCCTGCACATCGAGTGGGCGGACAAGGCCCTTCCTTACGCGCAGGCTCTTGGGCGCAGCAACTAACCCAGTCAGCGTGATAGCTGCATAGAGCAGGGGAGGGGAGGAGGCCGACGGAAGCTTGGAATGGACGGGGTGGGGAGGGACTAAGAAAGGAATGGAGGGAGGGGAGAAGGGGAGTGAAGCAGGGCGATAGAAAGCAGAGCGGGGCGGACTCTGGGGGCGTGGGGTCGCGACTCCCGGGCGTCAGGGGCAGTACAGCCCTCCAACGGTGCACCACGGGACGGCCGCGCATCGATATCCATTCAGCTCCAGTGTCAGAGAACGGGAACCAGCCACGCTCAGAGGGGGGGGGGGTAGGGGAAGGGCTTGTTGGAAGCACCCCTGCTTCCTAGAAGGCGCAGGCTTCACCTATAGATGTAAGGCTGACACGTTCTAAGACGCAGCCTCCTTCTACGAAGCCCTCCCCCCTCCCTCCACCCCCTTACGCGAGCCCGCAAGGGAAGGGACAGAGGACTCTATCTCAGTCTCGTTTGTTCAACTTTTGCTGCAACGTTTAGGCCATTGTCCGCAGAGGCCTATTGGAGTCTTCCAGGGACCTTTTTAGGGTAACGGGGGCCTCTGGACGCCGTCCGGGGACCTCCTAGAGGAGGGGGGGAGAAGAGGAGGGAGGGAGGGATGGGACCGAATGGAGGTCGGATGCCTCCATTCTCCATCTTCATCTCTCCGCCTCCACATCCCCACTCTCCTCCTGCACCCATCTCTGGGTCAAGGGAGGTGCGGCGGGGTGGGGATGGGACAGGGTAGAAAGGGATGCGATGGGATCGAATGGGATGGGATGAGAGGGCAGTGGAGGGAGATGGAAGGCCAGGGGAAGGAACGGGAAGAGACAGGGAGGCAGGAGGAAGGACGATTCCATCTCTGTCTTTCTTCGCCATCTTCCGTCGTTCGCCCAACGGCGCCCCTCGGGTCGTCCATCTTGCGGGCGGCCGAGTGGCGGTGACAGCTGGACGCTCGCCACTTGCACGGCCGAGCCAGTCAGACAAATAATCCCTTACGTCTGCAACGCAAGGTAAGGGAAACCATTGTCTGACACTGTCTACATAGTCGCTAAGTGGTGCTACATTACATGCTATAGCCTAACATGGCGCGGCAGTGCAGCATGCCATAGTATTGCATAACATCGCATGCCGTACCGTGGCAGAGCCAAGCCTTGCATATCAAGACATGCTACAGCGAAGCGATTATTTCGATACGTACCACTGCATTGCCTATTGCATCTTGACGTGGCATGGTCTATCATAACATTCAATTCCATGGCGTTGGACATCACAGTTGTATAGCATATTGTATCGCACTCTCCGCAGCCAGTGCTTGGATTCCAGGGGCTGTTCTGGTATAAATCGCATCGCCGCGGGTGCCGCCTTGTGGGAGCCTCGTGGGCGCCTCGGGCTTGGGGGGTATGCCGAGGTTGCGCGACGTCGCCACGCGTGTCGCCTCGTGGGCGCCTCCCGCCTGGGGGGGTATGCCGAAGCTGCGACTCGTTGCCGCCGGGGCGGCGCTGTGGGCGTCTCGTGGGTGCCGCACGTTTCGGGGCCGTGCTGAGGTGGCGCCACGTTGCCGCCTTTGACGCCTCGTGGGCGCCCCGTACGCTTGGTGGGTCTTGCCGAGGTTGCGACGCGTTCGCGCCCATGCTGCCTCGTGGGCGCCCCGTGCTCTGAGCTTGCACGACATTAACTTCACTTCTCACCACAGCTTACGGGACTGATCTTACCCTTCACAGTCGACACCCCATAATATTACACGGCATGGTGCACACACAGCACATAGCTTCCACCACATCAGAGTCAGGGGGGACAACGCTCACTCCCTGTCCGTGGGCGCGTGGCTGAAGAGAGGTTATGCGGTGCGGATTGTCGTTGTTGTTGCTGCTGCTGTTGCTGTTGCTGTCGGTATGTTTTGTTGTTTTTTTGGTTGTTTGTTGCTTGTTGTTTGTTGTCGTCGTCCCCCCCGTGACCCGGCCCGCGACCCACCCTCGACCCACCGGCGACCTGGCCCGCGACCCACCCCGCGACCCACCTTCATTGCTTTAATGGAAACATCGGCGCCTGCGGCGAGCTCGCTGTATAGATTGTACAGGTAGGTTCCTGCGGCGGGCTTCTTGAAAGCCTCGCAGGCTGCTGACATCCCCGCCTCCCCCTAACTCGCGTCCACGACTGCGGAGTGCTAGGTAGCTTCCGTGTGGCGTATCAGTCGGCATCACCGCGTGGCACGGGATTGCATAAGGTCAGCGTCTGGAAGTGGACAGGTTAGACTTATCTGTCATGGAGTTGTTCAGCGTAGCCTCACAAGAGCCTGGGACCTCATGTTCACCGCATCTTCATAAGAAGCCTCGCGCCCCTTGCTGTGGGCGAGCACGTCACGGACACTAGGCAATTCCCCCAATTCCACCCCAGCCACCCTATAGACACAGACACACACACACAATTAAAACACGTACATAACCCATCTGCAACATTTGGGCATAACAACAGTTTCGTTCAAGACGGACTACGCGAACTATGGCAGCACGCCGCGGAGCTGGTGCGGGACAGCGCCTTGGATGACCTTGCGACGGTCACGATCAGCGAGGAGGAGAAGACCAGGCTGGACGGATCGCCCCTCGACCGGATATTCCGCGACCGCACGCGTGAGGCTCGGCTGCTTCATCGGCCTGCTCCTGGCCGCAGGGTGGGCACCAGGTTCGTCGCCGACGACAGTGGCGTCGTGTTGCCTAACACTGACGACATGGCGGGGGAACCCCAGAATCATTGGCAGATGGTCTTGAGTGCAAGGGCCACGACTCCAAGTTGCTGCAGGAGTGGTTTTAGGAGGACCAGCTGGCCAGACGGCCAGGGAACATATTGTCCGCGTTGCCGGGTGACCTCCGCCCGACGCGACGGTACATACGCTTCGGCCTCCCGGTCACAGCCGGATGAGGTCAATGTTCAGTATGGCGATCCTTCGGCGACGCCGCAGTCGACCTTTTGCTCGGTGCGTTTCAAAGCCTCACGGCGGCGGGCGCCCCGAGCGAGATGGAGGCCTTGGGATTCAAGGTCAGCGAGAGTTTGCGGCCCTTGCTCCCCAAGAAGGCGGCGCGGTACACGGAGGAGGGAAAGGCAGTCTTTCGCACCATCAGCAAGATCATCGTGAGCGCGCCGAACCGCATGCTTGAACCAGCACTGCCGCCGAACATCTCCCTGGTCCAGCAAGGGGTGGACGATGTTGGCGAATGTGGTGGGCTTGGAGGAAGCCGTATGCGAGGACGGCCTCTCGCCGTAGTAGTTTTCCGCGTGCCCCATGTACTTCGAAGCCGCGTTCTCCTTAGTTGAGCACGGGTGCATGATTTAGTTTTTCGAACGCAAGGGGTGGCCAGACTGGCTGCTCCGATGCCTCATTGGCCGCCGCTGTCATGCTCGTGTCCAGGCCTATGCGGACGACACAGCCACCTTCCTCTACGACGGCCTGCAAGCGTTCGCGGCTATTGCAAACAACTTCGAGGATCTCGCGCGCTGCTCAGGTCTGAATGTGCATATCAAGAAGACGGCGGGCACAGGTATTGCTTGTGAGCACGCAGGACATCGCGCAGCTTTGATCGGCCATAGCGGTGCTGGCGCCGGCTTGGGGATAGATTGGGCAGCTGGGTTTGGCGCGGCAGGTTCGGTACCTCGGTTTCGCGGTGGGCCCTCAGCGGCGGCGTGCGCCAGAACCGCCAAGTCGGAGGCCTTCACGGTCGGGCGCAGGCCTAGCGGAGATTGAAGAAGACGCACGACGGCGAGTGATGTCAGCGTGGCAGTGGCGGCGTGGATCTGGAGCTTCTCCGTATGCTGGCTCACAGCGGCGGCGGGCGAGGTCGCCGCGGCCGAGCGGGCGACGGGACGCCCTACGTTCTTGCTCGGGATCGACCCCGACGACCTCCAAGCAGACAGAACTAGGCAGAGGCATTCGGCGCTTCAGTGACGCATGTTCGCAGGAAGTTTGGCCGTTAGACGCTGCGGTCCTTGCTCCGTGACCGCCCCGCGCAGTTGGCGAATGTCGGGCGGCTGCTTAGCGCCCCCGGCACGCGTCGCCGCGGCCTTCCTCCTCACCGCCATGCACGGCTGGTGCGCGGCGCGGCGCCTCCAAGCGCGCGCGCCGCGTGTCCAAGATTGCTACGGGGATTGGATTATATAGGGCATTGCGCCCAGCACAGAGTTCACCACACGTTCTGTTCAAAGCACGCGGGGCTGGAAACCCCGTGGGCTGGGACAACAAACTTCGGTGTTTTCTTATTTTGCTGCCTCCGCAGGGCGTGCCTGGGGTCGAGAGAATCGCCAGGCAGCGCGCGCTCCCGTGAGCTCCCGCAATGCACACGGCGTGCCGGGTGCAGGCCGCGGCGCAGACCGGTCTGTTTCTGACGCAGCGCCCCCGTCGCGCTTCTTTACATTTGTTTGAGCGAGGGCGCGGGGTGGCACGCGCAGCTGGGCGGCCTTCTGCGACTCGCCCTGCGCCGCTTTCGCGCGGTCGGTGCTTTGCGTTCTTGACGTCTGTCTCCATCCCCGCCCACCTTCCTGTTTATCCTCCCTGTTCTTTTCTTCCTCGCCTTGCCCGTCTTCGGAATCGTGGCGCCGGTTTGATGAGCCTGGCCAGCTTCAAATTTCGAGGCCGTCGAGAAACTCCGGGCGCATGCAGTTGTCCCCGTCCCCCTACTCTCTCTCCTAATTTTCCCCTCGCTTGTTGGGGTTTCCTGCAGGTCTCACTCGGAAGGAAAGGGCGATGACGGTCATGCGGCAGGGTTGCCTGCCGACTCCCTGGCACGAGTCGGACAATGATCAGGTGTGTGCGTTGTCTCCCTTCGCCTCTTCCTCCCTCCTCTCGTCTCTTGTCGTCCTTCCGCGCCCCGCCCCTCCTTGGAATCAAGGGGCAGATGTGCTGCAGGCCGTCGGGGGCCTTCCAGCTCCGGGGCGTAGCGGGCGCCTGCAGTTGTTCCCCTCCTTCTTCGCCCTCTCCCCCCCCTTCCCTCTCTCTCTCTCTCTCTCTTTTTTCCTTTCTCGCCCTCTCCCCTCCCCCCCCCCCTCTCCCCTCCTCCCCCCTATCCCCTCCTCCCCCCTCTCCCCTCCTTGTTCCCCTCCTCCCCCCCCTCTCCTCCTTTTTCGCCCTCTCCCCTCCCCCCCCTCTCTCTCTCTCTCTTCCCTCCTTGCTTTGCCCTTCTTCGGAATCGTGATGCCATGTGTTGCGCCTGGCCGGCGTGATATGTTGAGGCCGTCGGGAGCCCTCCTGCCCAGGAGCGCTGCTGGACATCTGCACGGGACGACATGCCGCCGCGCACTCCGACGCAAGGTGGTGCAGGCTATCGTGTGTTCTCCGTTCTGGCCGCGTGGCCGATAGACTGGGGGACACGCGCCCAGCAGCCGATTGGAGCTGCCCTTCCTCCTCGTCTCTTTCCTGCCTCTCCCGCCTCCCGGAGGTGGACCGCCGGCTAGTTTTGCTTGGATGGGCCTGCTCTGCGCCTCCTCTGCCTGTCTCGTCCTGACTCGCCCCCAGACGCCGGAGCTCCATGCGGTTCCTTCGACTATGATGCTGCGTCGTGGGGAGGGGGAGTAACGGAATTGACCCCTGTGCGACGGCGCGCGGCGCGCGGTGGAGCCACAGAGGTCGACGAGGTGCTCAGCCCGTCCTTCTGGGCGGCCGTTTGTGCCGGTGCACATTCGCTCTGACAGGCGTCGGTGTTCGCCATGCCCGCGATTAATGGTGAGAGGGCGCTTCGTTCAGCAACTTGATTTTCTCTCTTACTCCTCCTTTCCTCGTTCACCTCCTCTGCACGTCCATTATCCACCTTCTCCGTTTCCTGCGCTCGCGTGGGACCTTCGTGAGAGTACCGCGGTGGATGCCCTTTTTCGTCTACGCACTTCCGAACATGGCATCACAGTCTCTGATCAGCTGTCCTGTTCTCCTCCCACTGTTCCTGCCTCCTCATCCTTCCCCCCCTCTCTCTGCCATTTGCCCCAGTCTTGGGCTATCGCTTAGAGAGAACGGCCATCTGTGTTAGCCATGTTTCGCAGCACAGCTTGTCTATCTGGCTAGGCACTCTTGCTCCGTTCATATGCGCGGCATTTGAGGTAGCTGAGTGGCTTCACAATTGCGTCACCGACCTTGTCATTGTGCTGCTATGTCCGCACCCCCTCCTCCCCTCCAAAATTGCATTGGCACAAAAGCTCCATTCAAGACGAACTATCATTCTGAGAAGTCGCAATACCCCTTCCTTGAAGCTACATGGGGAACGTGAATATGGCAAGTGCGTGCCAATAGAGAGAAGGCACCACACGAAGGTCAATCACAGGCGTCAGACCTAACTCCGCTTGATGTCCCAGGAGCTCTCGACAGTAGCGACAGCTGAGCAGGTGGCATCGGCCAGCGCCAAGGACGGTGAGGTCTCATTTGATCCACGTGCGACGTCATTCCGCTGGATCTTCCGTGAGCTCACGATCGTGCCGATTGTTACGCAGTTGGCAGCAGGGGGGTCACAGTTGGCGTCCGCGGAGGGCCGTGCTCATCGAGACCTCCCAGGAGTTGACGAAAGTGTCATCAGTTGCTCAATTGGCAGCGTGAAAGGCGAGGAGTAATGGCCTGGACCCGCGTAGGACCGCACACCGCTGGACCTCCCAGGGTCCCAAGACAGAGCCGACATATGCGCGGCTGGCAGCGCCGGTGGAAGCGGACTTCTGGTGTGGGAGTCGCCTGGGGCCGCCATCCGTGGGATTTCCCAGGGGCTCCCAGAATTGCCCCAAAGTTGCGCAATTGGCAGCGCCCAGGGCGCGGCGGTGTAATTTGATCCGCTCGCGATGTCATTCCGCTGGCAGCGCCCGAAAAGAGGAGTAATAGTGTGGCTCCGCGTAGGGCCGCGCTCCACTAGACCTCCCAGGCGCTCACCGAAATGTCGACAGCTGCGCAGTTGGCTGCATCCAAGGGGAGGAGTAATGGTTTGGACCCGCGTGTCATTGCACGTCGCTGAACTCCCTAGCAGCTCTCAACATTGCCGGTAGCAGCACACTTTGCAGCGCCCAGGGAGGGGATGAAAATGCTGATCCGTATGAGACCGCACTCCGATTGATCCACCAGGAGACCACAAAAGTGCCAGCAGTGGCGCAGTTGCCAGCGCCCAAACGGGCGGGTGAGAAATTTGAGTTGGATGGGAGGACGAGGTGGACGTGCAGCAGCAGCAGCAGCAGGATGAGCAGCAGGAAGGCGAGGGAGAGGGGCTGACGACAACGACAACGGCGACGTCGACGACGACGACGCCCTTCGCGCGCTCCGCGCACCAGGGAGGAGAGTCCTGTGCCGAACCGAGGAATCCACGCGCTCTGCAAGAACCCCGATCCTCGAACTTCGGCATTCGAAGGTGAGGGGTCGCGTAACCCGGTAGGGTCTTTAGAAAAGGGCCCCCCCCCCCTGGTTCTCTCTCCGGGGAATAAAACTCCGCGCCCCCCCGTCCTCCCCCCCCCTCCCCCCGTCCTCCCCCCTCGCTCCCTCTCCCTCCCCCCACTGAGGACCTCCCGCAAGCTACGAGGACTGAGGACCTCTCGCAAGAGACCAGAGGACCTGCCGATCCCGGGGCCGGAGTGTCCCTGGGGCCACGCGAGCTGGTAAGGCACGCTCTCGCCTCGAATGTCTCGAGCAGGCACGTTTCGGGGGAGAACAAACCTACCTCGCTTTTGACCACCCTCGCTTCCAAGAGATACCAAACGATGCCAAATTGCGGCCTGTACTGGTCAGGCCGCTTGACGAGGAGGCGCGTGGTATGGCTTGGTTTTGCCTGGAAGCGAAAGCGGGGGAGGTAATTCACGCTCTAAATGTTGATGTTTCCAAGGGGCCTTCGTAATTCCTCCCCCGCCGCTTAGGATGGCTGTCCCTCTCGCGCCACCCCGTTGTTCAGGGGCAGCGATAGGGGAGGGAATCGACCCCAAATCGCCACTTGACCGCCGAGAAGGGCCCTTAGCCCAACCCCGCCCAGGAACTTGCGGATTCGCTATCGGGGCCTATCGGCGAGCCAGCGCCGATTCCATGTCGATGTTCGCGCCCCCCTTGTACCAGTCCCCCCCATTTGCCCCCCCCTGATTTGTGCGCGCCGCCAAGTGTGGGTCCTCAGGCGACGCCCGCTGGGCTGCTCGATGGCCCCTTGATGCCCGTGTGGCTGGACGCCACGGACCCAAGCAGGCCAGCGCCCGCGGGGGATCTTCGTCCTTGTCTCCTCGGCCTCCTCGCCCTCGGGCTTCCCATCGTCCGCCTCCTTCGGATGCAACTCCTGGGAGGTCACCTTCTGATTCTGCCCTGGTCCGAAGTCCGGCTTAAGCCGGCTTGATCCCGTTTAATCCGGCTCAATCCCGCTTAATCCCGCTCCATCCTGCCTAGTCCGAGGCCCACTCCGGCGCAACAGCTCCAAATGGGGCTTGATCTTCTTAAATCTTTCCGGCGAAAGCCTCCCAGCAGTTGCCACCTAATCCTCCGCTTCGTCCTCCTCGTCATCCTCGTCCTCCTCGGTCTCGTCTGTCCTCCTTGTCCTCGTCCTCCCCTCGTCCTCCTTGTCCTCCTCGTTCCTCGTCCTCGTCTCCATTCTTGTCGACTTCGTCCCGACGAAGAAAAACTTGCGTATGTATACACTTTGGGAGCTCCGCGCGGTTTTCTTGAATGCGCGCTAGATTCCCCTCCCTGGCGCAGGCGCCGCCAGGGGGATCCAGCACCGATCCAAGAAATCCGCGCAGACTTCCGCCAGTTTCCGATTGTACATCATCGGTTCGTTATGTTATTTCATGGGGGGGGGGTCTTCGTCGTTGGTGATGAGGGACTGAGCTCACAAACCCAGAAGGGGAGGAGAGGTGGGCGGCGTGCAGAGATTGAGGAGATGGCAGGCGCAGTTCGATGAGTTGTACCACCTGTTGAGAGGCACCTGGGAAATGGAGCTACGTCATTCAGGTTTCCATTCGCCTTGAAATCTTGGGCGGGGCGTCGACATCGGACAGGTCTGGGCGTCGACTTCGATGAGGACGGGAGATGCAGGGCAGGACCGGGGAGGGGGGAAGGGGAAGAGGAAGAGGATGAGAAGGAGGAGGAGGAGGAGGAGAAAGAGGAGGAGCAGGAGCAAGAGATATAGATGAAGAGAAGTAGAGGCTGATGAGAAGTAGGGGCGTCAGTGCGAATAATATCATGAGGGAGACGGAGGAAGAGGAGGAGATGGCGTTTGGGGTGTCTCCAATGCTTGAGAAAGTCTCGGGGGCCGCCAAAAAATGATGAACGTGGTGGGCGGTGGGTGTGGGTATAGAGATGGATATGGATCGTGGGACGGAGGGGGATGGAAGGGGGCGAGTGGAAGGAGGAGGAGGAGGACGTGGAGGAGAGGCGGGAGGAGGAAGAAGCAGGAGGTGGAGGAGGCTTCTATGTGTGTTCGGATGTGTTCGAAGCTGTTTTCCTCCGCGCAGTTTCTCGACGGCACGAGACAAGACGTGTTGACATCATGCGGCTTCCGTTGCCTTTCGTTGTTTTTGGTGCCGCGGCGTTGCTTCTTACTTCACCTGCTCAGCCCCTGCATGTGCTGTGTATCGGAGGTGAGGGGGTGAGATCGAAGTGGAACGGAGAGCCCCCCTACCGGGAAATCGGTGTCGGTTTCGTGTTCGTGCGTGCCGTGCGTGCGGGCGAAGCTGCGTGGGCGGGCGAGAAGAAAGTCTCCTCCGGCTGAAGCGCGGCCGGACCAAATGATTCCTTTCCGTGGGCCAGTGGCCCGCGGAGTCCCGCCGGTGTCCCGCCGGTGTCCCGTCGGTGTCCCGATGATGATGATGATCATGATGATGATGAGGAGGATGATGATGATGATCATGATGATGATGATGCTGTCGATGATGTTGATGATGATGGTGGTGATGATGATGGCGTCCCCATGATGATGATGATGTTGACGATGTTGATGATGATAATGATGATGTTGTTGGTGGTGGTGATGATGGTGTCCCGATGATGGTGATGAGGTTGATTATGATGTTGTTGATGATGGTGTCCCGATGGTGATGATGATGTTGATGATCATGATGAAGATGATGATGGCGTGATGATGCTGATTTGATGATGGTGGCCCGATGATGCTGATGATGATGCTGATGCTGATGTTCATGAAGATGAAATGCTGATAGGATGATGATGGTGATGCTGAAGGTGATGATTATGGTGACCCGATGATGATGATGATGATGGTGAGGTTGGTGATGATGCTGTTGCTTATTATGGTGATGATGATGATGCCACGGTGGTGATGATGATGTTGATGTTGATGCCGATGATGTTTTCCCGATGATGATGATGTTGACGAGGAGGAATATGATGAGGTGATGATGATGATTTTTATGATGGTGGCCCGATGCTGGAGATGATGATGATGATGATGATGCTGATGATGATGGCGGTGCCCCGATGATGATGACGATGGTGAGGATGATGGTGACGATGATGATGGTGTCCCGATGATGATGCTGATGGTGATGTTGCTGATGATGATGTTGCTCATGATGATGATGGTGACCCGGTGATGATGATATGTTTGAGGTGGTTCATGATGACGATGAAGCGATGATGAGGATGATGATGGTGGTAATCCGATGAGGATGATGATGGTGTCCCGATGATGATGATGTTGATGAATATGATGGTGACGGTGATGGTGTCCCGATGGTGATGATTATTGTGATGATGCTGATGATGCTGTTGGTGATGCTGGTGATGAAGCGATGATGATGATGGTGTCCCGATGATGACGATGTTTATGCTGATGTTGATGGCGATAATGTTTATGATGATCATGATTACGTTGATTGTGGTATCGATTGTGCTATCGATAGGGAGACCGCTAGTGAGACTGAAGGTGAGATCGATAGTGCGATTGGTAGTGAGATTGATTGTGAGATCGATAGTCAGATCGATTTTGAGATTGACCGAATGATCTAGATCGAATGATATCGGCTGTGACATCGATCGGATGAAATCGATCGAGCGAGGCCGATAGTGAGATCGACCGTGTGATCGATCGCGAGACCGATCGAGTGAGACGTTGGTTCCCCCCCCCCGAACTTCCTTATCACCCGAAGGGGGGTCGTATAGGTATATCGGAGGTGAGGAGGTGAGATCGAAATTGAACGGAGACCCTTTTCCGGGAACTCCACTTCGGTTTCGTGTTCGTGCGTGCCGTGCGTGCGAGCGAGGCGAAGCTGCGTGGCCGGGCGAGAAGCAAGTCTCCTGTAGCTGACGGACCAAATGATTCCGGACCGGCGTCCGGTGGCCCGCGGTGTCCCGCTGGTGTCCCGCATCCAAATGAGGCGCGGCCGGACCAAATGATTCCGGACCGGCGTCCGGTGGCCCGCGGTGTCCCGCCGGTGTCCCGCTTCCTGCTGAGGCGCGGCCGGACCAAATGATTCGGGACCGGCGTCCGGTGGCCCGTGGTGTCCCGCCTGTGTCCCGCCGGTGCCCCGTCGGTGCCCAGATGATGATGATGATGATGATGATGCTGATGATGATGACGATGATGATAATGATGATGATGTCGATGAAGTTGTTGATGATGGTGATGATGGTGGTGATGGTGGTGATGATGATGGTGTCCCGATGATGATGATGATCATGATGATGATGATGTTGACGATGTTGATGATGACGATGATGATGGTGGCCATGGTGGTGATGATGGTGCCCCCATGATGATGCGGTTGATGATGTTGATGTTGTTGATGATGATGGTGCCCCGATGGCTGATGTTGTTGTGGATGATGATGGTGTCCCGATGATGATGGTATTGTTGATGATGTTGATGAGATGATGATGTTCATGATGATGATGGTGGCCCGATGGTGATGATGTTGATGCTGATGATGATCGTGTCCCGATGATGATGACGATGGTGATGATGATGGTGACGATGATGATGGTGTCCCGATGATGGTGTTGATGGTGATGGTGGTGCTGATGATGATGGTGTCCCGATGGTGATGTTGATGCTGTTGTTCATGGTGATGAAATGATGATGATGCTCATGATGATGATGGTGGTGTTCCATGGTGATGATGATGACGGTGATGGTGTCTCGATGATGATGACGTGGATGTTGATGATGGTGACGATGGTGGCGTCCCCGTAATGTTGAAGGTGATGATGATGACGATTTGGATGATGATGGTGATGAGTTGGTGATGATGATGGTGTCCTGATGGTGCTGTTGATGACGTTGATGGCGATAATGTTGATAATGATGATGACGTTGATTGTGATATCGATTGTGGTATCGATAGTGGTATCGATAGTGAGACTGATCGTGAGATCGATCGTGGTATCGACAGTGAATTCGAATGTGAGATCGATAGTCATATCGATTGTGAGATCGATCGAATGAAATAGATCGGGTGGTATCGATGGTGAAAACGATCGAGTGAGATCGATCGAGCGAGACCGATAGTGAGATCGATCGTGTGATCGATAGTGATACCGATTGAGTGAGACGTTGGTTCCTCCCCCCCCGAACTTCCTTATCACCCGAAGGGTGGTCGTATAGGTATACATACACACGTATCAGAGTGGGTGGGGCAAGCTGTCATTCATTGGCCCTGTGTGCGAGGGTGAAGTGCGATTCCATGGCCCGAAGCATGGATGACTTCTCACTGTCACGAAAAGATAATGTAGACTCCTCTTCCCCAACCCCTTCGTTTCTCATCGCGTTTTTCAATTCAGTTTTCTTTACCTAACAGCGAAGACTGATAGGTTTCTAGTGGGGTCAAAAGATAACATCTTGACTCCCCAGAGGGGGTCTGGGCAGGATCCGGGGGATGCCGGGGAAAACCGGGGACTCCCCAAAACCTTATCCCAGGCCACATGTTGACCGCCCAGAGCCAACAGAACACCATTCCCAGGCCACATTTTGAATGCCCGGAGCCAACTGTAGGCCACTTCGGGTTCTTCCTGTTCCCAGAACATTACTCCCAGGCCACATTTTGAATGCCCGGAGCCAACTGTAGGCCACTTCGTGGTCTTCGTGTTCCCAGAACACCACTCCTGTACAATATTTTGATTGCCCGGAACCAACTGTGGGCCACTTCGTGATCTTCGTATTCCCAGAACACGACTCCTCTGCTATATTTTGCATGCCCGAGCTGAGGCAGGCTGAGGCTGAGGCAGGCTGAGGCCGAGGCAGGCTGAGGCTGAGGCTGAGGCCGAGGCAGGCTGAGGCTGAGGCTGAGGCAGGCTGAGGCTGAGGCAGGCTGAGGCTGAGGCTGACGCAGGCTGAGGCCGAGGCAGGCTGAGGCTGAGGCTGAGGCAGGCTGAGGCTGAGGCAGGCTGAGACTGAGGCTGAGGCAGGCTGAGGCTGAGGCTGAGGCTGATGCAGGCTGAGGCTGAAAGGCTGACGCTGACGCTGAGGCAGGCTGAGGCTGAGGCTGAGGCCGAGGCAGGCTGAGGCTGAGGCTGAGGCAAGCCGAGGCAGGCTGAGGCTGAGGCTGAGGCTGCAGGCTGAGGCTGAGGCTGAGGCTGTGGCTGAGGCTGAAGCAAGCAAGCTGCGGCTGAGGCAGGCTGAGGCTAAGTCTGATTCAGGCTGAGGCAGGCTGAGGCTGAGGCAGGCTGAGGCAGGCTGAGGCTGAGGCCGAGGCAAGCTGAGGCTGAGGCTGAGGCTGATGCTGAGGCAGGCTGAGGCTGAGACAGGCTGAGGCTGAGGCTGAGGCAGGCTGAGGCTGAGGCTGAGGCCGAGGCAGGCTCAGGCTGATGCAGGCTGAGGCTGAAAGGCTGAGGCTGAGGCTGAGGCCGAGGCAGGCCGAAGCTGAGACAATGTGAGGCTGAAGGGGGGGGGGGGGGGGGGGGAAGGGGGGGGGGGGGAAGGGGGGGGGAGGAGGGGAGGCTGAGGCAGGCTGAGGCCGAGGCAGGCTGAGGCTGAGGCTGAGGCTGAGGCTGAGGCTGAGGCTGAGGCTGAGGCAGGCTGAGGCTGAGGCTGAGGCTGATGCTGAGGCTGAGGCTGAGGCTGAGGCTGAGGCAGGCTGAGGCTGAGGCTGACGCAGGCTGAGGCTGAGGCAGGCTGAGGCTGAGGCTGACGCACGCTGAGGCCGAGGCAGGCTGAGGCTGAGGCTGAGGCAGGCTGAGGCCGAGGCAGGCTGAGGCTGAGGCTGAGGCAAGCCGAGGCAGGCTGAAGCTGAAGCTGAAACTGAGGCAGGCTGAGGCATCCGTAGTATTCCATAGGAATTCTTAGGATTCCCTAGGAATCCTTAGGAATCCGTAGGCATCCTTAGGACTCCGTTGGCATAGTTCAGCATCCTCAGACATCCTTAGGAGTCCTTAGGATTCCTCAGGAATCCTTCGGAATCCATAGGAATCCCTAGGAATCAGGATTCCTAAGGTTTCCTAAGGTTTCCTAAATATTCCGATGGATTCCTAAGGATGCCTAAGGATGCTTTAGGAATCCCTCGGAATCTCTAGGATTCCATTGGACCCGAAGGCCGTTGCCACTGCGACTGTCATTGCGACTGCGACTGCGACTGCGAGAACAGCAGAATTCTACAACTGGATTCTCACCTGAATCTTAAGGGCAATACTTCTAGATATGCTTATACACATCGCTGTTAGGTTGCTTTGCCGGGAATTTTTTTTGACAGGGGCTTGCACCTTGATGTTTACTGGTGGCAATATTCGGGCTCAGCTTGGGCTCGTTGACCCCCGACCTACAATCAACAACATGCACATCAGCAGCACCATCGCCAAACAACAATATTATCAAGACTGTTCGCGCTATCTGATCACGTACCACTGAACACGTATAGTCCAAATCCTCGATACCCGCCCTCTTCGCTTTCGATCGTACCTCCGTTAGGGTAGATCATTATGACCTGCGCCGTCTACTTCGTGCAGCAACTAAGGCAGGGGAGGGGAGGACGGATGGAAGGAAGGGACCAGGGTGAGGGAGGAGGATGGAGCACGGCAGGGAGTAGCAGGAAGGGGGCGGAGCAGAAAACACGTGGCAGAACCAGGCAGGCAGATCGGGCAGGTAGACCCTAACGGGCGTCTCGGGAAGGCGGGTCCAGGCGGCCAGGTCGAGCAGGCGGGACTGAAGCGTGCATCTTGCATGAAGCGCGAGGGGGCCTTGGGCGATAGCGCGATCCCCAAATACATCGCAAGGGGATCCACAGCGAGCGGGAGATTCCTGAGTGACGAGGGCGCGGCGTCTGAACAAATGATAAGAACGCCCCACGCGGGAGCGCGATCCCTGCACACATTGTGAGGAAGTCCCGCGCGAGTGCGCGATTTGGGAGCACATGGTGAGGAAGTGTCAGGCGGGAGCCGCTGTTGCTGTAGTCCGGGGGCCAGCAGCCCAGTTTGTCGACACCCGGCTCCCCATTGTAGAAACGGGGTGCGGGCCGCGGGGGGAAGCATTTCATTTGACGCGTGCCATGGCTACCGGGCCTGAGGGGCAGCAGCAAGTATTCGCAGGCAGGAGAGTTCAACGGCAGCAGCAACAACAATCACACCAGCAACACCAACACCACTTACACAAACAGCACCAACAACAACAACACCAACAACGACCAACAACAGCAACAGGACAAGCATCAATCATTCTAAGACTGGTCGCCCTTATTTGCTCTCGTGTCGTTCAACACGTATATCCCAAACTTTCGATACCCGCCCTCTTCGTCTTCGATCGTGACCCCTTGGGGCGTATCTTCCTGACCTGCAACGTGTGTTCCGGGCAGCCCCTGGGGCAGGGGAAGAACGGACGGACGGAAGGAAGGGTCAAGGGGAAAGGAGGGTGATGCAGCACATGAGAGAGAGAAAGAGAGAGATAGAGAGAGAATAGCAGAAGGGGGGCTCGGTGCAGAAAACAAGTGGCGAAACCAGACGGGCAGATCGAGCGGATCGCGGATAGGCCCTAACGGGCGAGTCGGGAAAGCGGGCCCAGGCGGCCAGTTCGAGCAAGCGGGTGGTTGAAGCGTGCGTCCTGCATGAATCGCAAGGAAGTCTCGAGCGATAGCGCGATTTGCAGCGGGGCCACGAAGGGCAGCGAGGGGGCCACGAAGGGACGGGGCCACGAAGGGCAGCGAGGGGGCCATGAAGGGCTGCAACGGGGCCACGAAAAAAGCAACAAGGGGGCCACGAACCGCTGCAATGGGGCCACGAAGGGCAGCGAGGGGGCCACGACGGGCTGCAACGGGGCCACGAAGGGCTGCAACAGGGCCACGAACGGCAGCGAGGGGGACACGAAGGGACGGTAGCGAGGGGGCCACGAAGGGGCCACGAAGGGCAGCGAAGGGGCCACGAAGGCAGCGAGGGGGACACGACGGGCTGCAACGAGGCCACGAAGGGAGGGCACCGAGGGGGCCACGAAGGGCTGCAACAGGGGCCACGAAGGGTAGCGAGGGGGCCACGAAGGTCCGCAAGGGGCCACGAAGGGCAGCGAGGGGGCCACGAAGGGCTGCAACGGGGCCACGAAGGGCAGCGAGAGGGGCCACGAAGGGCTGCAACGGGGCCACGAAGGGAAGCGAAATCCTGATGATATGCTGTGAGGGAGTCCTAGGCGTGAGCGCGACTCCTGGGTGCCTGAGTGTCGGGAGCGCGGCGCTTGAGTAAATTGCGCGGAATTTCAACGCAAGAGCGCGATTCTGCAAGCAAGTCTCCAGCGAAAGCGCGACTCCAGAGCGCCGAGAGGGCGATTCCTTTCTTCCATTGTGAGGAAGTCCCTGGCGAGAGCGCGAATCCTGAGTAAAATGCGTGGAAGTGTCAGGCGGGAGCGAGGGCCCTGGCTAAATTCTGAGGAAGTCTCGGGCGGGAGGGAGCCTTTGTTGTTGTAATCCGGAGGCCAGGGGCACAGTTCGACCCTTGTGACTTTTCGTCCTCAAAATAACTGGGTGCGAGCCCCTGGGGCAGCACTTCAATTGAGAAACACAATGGTCACCGGAGGGGGAATCAACAATAATTATTCTTCATTTACGGAAGTTTTTTAACAACAACAAAAACAAAAACGGCTCCCGCCATGTACCTCGTCACCATGTTTCAAAATGCGCTCTCGCGCAGGAATTCCTTTCACTTTCTGGAGGAATCGAGCTCGCGCGTCGCATTTCCTCAAAATTGATTCAGGCGCCGCACATTGGACACTCCGGAATCGCGCTCTCGCTTTGGCCGTTCTCATGGTTCTCTTGGGAATCGCGCTATCTCTCGAGCCTTGCCCGCGAATCATGCAAGACACGCTTCTGCAACCCGCCTGCTCGACCTGGCCGCCGGCCTTCCCGACCCCCGCGCCAGGGTCTACCCGCCCGATCCGCCAGTCTTGTTCTCATTGTGCTCCATCCTTCTCCCTCCCTCTTCTCTCGTCCTTCCATCCGTCCCATACTCCCCTGTTTTAGCGGCTGCTCCAACTACACGTGGCAGGAGGGGAAGATATACCCCCAAGGGGGTACGATCTAAGACGAAGAGGGCGGGTTTTGAGGGTTCGGCATGCACGTGTTGAGTGGCACACAAGCAGATCAGCGCGAAGAGTTTTAGGATGTGTGTTGTTATCGTCGTCATCGCCCGCGACCCCCCTGCGACCAACCCGCGACCCACCCCGCGACACACCCGCGACCCAGCCGCGACCCGCACGCGACTCACCCGCAACACACCCGGCGCCCGCCCTTTCACTCTTATCCGCAATTGCGGTGCGCTACATTTAATTTACGTTCTCTCTCATTTTACGTATCTCTCTGTCTCTCTCTCTCTTTTTCTCTCTCTAGGTCTCTTGCTGTAGTCGCCTTGCCTCTCCCGTCGGCTCGTTCCTGCTTTCGCCCCGCACGCCCATTTCTCCTGCCCTCCTCATCCTCCGCCTCCTCCTCCTTGCATTCCCGTCCCCCACCCCACTCCTCCTCCTCTTCCTCCTCCTCCTCCTCCTCCTTCTCACCCACTTCCTCCTCCTCCGCTTTTCCCACTTCCTCCTCCTCCTCCGCTTTTCCTCCTCCTCCTCCTCCCCCTCCTCCTCCTCCTCCTCCCTCCTCCTCCTCCTCCTCCTCCTCCTCCCTCCTCCTCCTCTTCCTCCTCCTCCTCCTCCTCCTCCTCCTCCTCCTCCTCCTCCTCCTCCTCTCTCGCCTCACCCCCCACCCACAGCAGGCTGAACATCTTCCTGGACGAAGCGGCTGCTGAAGACCTGGAGGTCGGGACCTACAGGCAGCCCCTCCACCAGCGCGGAGGAGGGTGGGGAGCAGCGTGCATGCACTTCGGCACGCGACCGAGGAAATACATTACCCCAGCACTCGTGCCCCTTCGATTCCCGCAGCGATGTTCGGGCAACTGCAGGCCCATCTCCTGCCCCCCGCCGCTTGCATTGTGTTGGACATCAGGGGGAACATCATGGAGAGATAGGCTCAGGAGGAGGAGGAGAAGGAGGAGAAGGAGGAGAAGGAGAAGGAGGAGGAGAAGGAGGAGAAGGAGGAGGAGGAGAGATAGGCTCAGGGGTGGGGGATGCATCGGCCCTCAAACGCCCACTCATCGCCGATAGGGGCCAACTAGCCCACCCCGCTTAGAAATGTGCGGAGTCGCGATCGGGGGTCTGTCGCCGATCCGGCGATGCATGGCCGCTTCCAGGTCGACGTTTCCCTCCTGATCCGTTGGGAGGAGGAGGAGGAGGAGGAGGAGGAGAAGGAGAAGGAGGAGAAGGAGGAAGAGGAGGAGAAGGAGGAGGAGGAGGAGGAGAAGCAGGAGAAGGAGGAGAAGGAGAAGGAGGAGAAGGAGGAGAAGGAGGAGGGTCTGTTCCCCCCTCTCGTTCCCCCCTCGGGGGTCAGTCCGGACGGGGGCGGGCCGGGGCGCTGGAGACGGGCGCCGGCACAGGGCGGCGCTCCTCGGGGGCACCCTGCCTGCCAGAGCCGGCGGTCGACCTGCGCCCTACAGAAGGGCCTGCAGCCTGGCCTCCGGCGCGCCCGCGCCCTGACCTCCCACGTGTGCTGCCCAGGCACCGCAGGGCGTAGCGTTTCGTCGGGTCCTTATTCCCCCTACAGCCCGATTTTGGTGAAATAACTTAAGAATGCCCCAAGAATTGTTTTGAAAATGATCACAAATTGTCAGAAGTAGTCCCCTGATTATTTTCCAACTATTTTTGAATTCTCCCCCTGCAGAGGGACAGGCCCGACTTAAGCGTGGAGAAGCTCCTGCCGGCTGCGCGTAAGAATGGCCCTTCGCCGGTGAGGCCCTTGGTTTAGAGGAGGGCGAGTTGAGACAACCGTCGTTGGCCTTCGGGGGAGGGCCCTCGTCGCCAAGGCGGAAGACACACAGGACAACTGGCGCGTTGGCACCTCAGCAGGGGTCGGGGAACCGATCTTGAGCTGCCCTGCTCGGACACAGGAGTCCCTCTCGCACTGGCATTACCCCCGAATCGGGGAACGTATAATGACACAAAGATGGACTTTTGTAGGTCCGCGCAGATTTCCCAGAAAAGCGTTTGAGTCTCATGGCGGCGCCTCTGGCGCAGCCGTTGACGCGCTCCGCGCGCCAGGGAGGGCGGCCCAGCGCAGATCCAAGAAATCAGCGCTGACCTCAAAAGCAAATCTGTTTATTCATTGTTCTGCTCCTCCACCTGAAGCAGTGCGCCGAAGATCACGCTTGTCTAGGGCTACTCCTGTGTGTAACCGACCCTGTCGGCGAGCAGCAGGGGTGTGGGGCTCGCGGGGCGGCCTCGGAAGGTGGCAGCGAGCCTTCCAGAGGCCTTCCTGCCTTTGAAGCAGCTTTCTCAGGCGCCTCCGATCCCCTACGCAGCCTGGACTGGAAGGATCGCGTGCAACATCGATTGCCAAGAAGCACGTTATCCCTGTGAGGCGATGCCCCCACGAGGGCCCCGTCTGTGCACGTCATCCCCCTGCTGGGGCTTCTGCGGCGCACGCTGTCCCCACGGCGAGGGACAGCTTGTAAGAAGCTGGCCAGCGGCGCCTCACTGCACGCTACCTGCCGAACGCCTGCCGCAAGGAGCCCCTTCGTCTCCTTAGAATTAAATCGGGCGTGTCCCTCTACAGGAGAACTATTCAAACATAGCCCAAAAATAGTCTGGGGACGATGTGTTGAATTGTTTTGCTGTATTTTGATGTTTTTTTGATTATGTCTAATTTTTCTTCCAGAATCCGCCTGTAGGAGGACACGCCCGACCTAACCTTAGAACCAGATATAGCCAGGACTCCGGGTAAAGGGGAGCTGGCTAGTGCCTGGTCCCCTCAGCACCAAAGACGGACCGGAATCACCAAACCAGGCCTGTCGTAGCTGGTGTTCCGTCGGATGGCGACGGTTCCGGTTTTAGTTTGGTGGGGCGGGGCCACGTCCTTCCGGTACACATCACAGGCGAGTGTGAAGAGAGCTTGCCCTTGCAGGGAGGGGCTCTCCTTGTGCTGTCCTGGTGTCGCGATGGCTCACCCGCAACGAGAGGGCACAGGTCAGTGTACATTCTCGAAGGAGAGAGCAACAATATAAACAACAATGTTTGACGTCCTGCGCTGCGATCTTGGATCTGCGCTGGGCCCCGCCGGCGGCGCCACTGTCACCGCCCATGGCGCGCTCCGCTCGCCAGGGAGGGGGTACAGCGCCGATCCAAGACATCCGCGCGGAGCTCCCAAAGTTTACGTTTGTGCTGGTCTTTGTTCCACTATCCGTCCCGAGGGCGCGAGGGCTCACCCGCAACGTGAATGCACGGGCGTGTTCAAATTCTCCCACCCCGTCCCAGCCTCCAGCCTGGTCTGCCTACGGCTTTCCGTCGCCCTCTCCTCCTACTCCCCCACTTGCAGGCTGGCGCGGTGCAGCACAGTGCAGCGTGCAGCCATGCAACACAAATCAAGCATAGCAGCGCAAAAGCAACGCACGCCACCGCAGCGCAACATGCGGCGCAAAGCAATGCAATGCAACCAGCACAGCACAATAGTTTGCAAATCGATGTACAACAACGCCGACACGCCCAAACAAGACGACACGATCGCACCTAGTGCAAAACACGAAGATGCAGCGCCAAGCAGCGCGAAGCAGCGCAAAGCAGCGCAGAGCAGCGCAGAGCCATGCAGAGCAGCGCCGCGAATGCAAAGCAGCGCGAGAGCAGCTGCGCGGGGGGCGAGGCCCGCGCCGAGGACGCACCTGGGGAACGGGCTGCCAAGAGCCGCTCCTTGGGGGCGGCAAAGAGGGGGGTGATGACTAGGGGTGTGTGGATATCATGGCGTGGGCCATGGTATTTCCTCAGATTTCATGGCGCCTCGTCTTATTGCATTAACCCGTACAAGCTTTTGAGACCCCCCCCTTCCCGGCGCAAAGATAACCCTTCCGCACCCTGGAAGCGTTATTCTGGCACCAGGAGGGGGTTCATCCTGTGTTTCCTTAGCTTTTCCTTGGCTTTCCTAGCTTTTCTCTGGTTTTCCTAACTTGTCATTGGTTGTCTTAGCTTTTCATGTGTTTCCTCAGCTTTTCTTCGGTTCTTGTTCCTGAGGTTGTTCTAAGTGTTCTCAGTTGTTTCATTGGTTTTCTAAGCTTTTCTTTCCCCAATCAGAGCTTGCCTCTGTAGGGGTCCTAGCGGATTCATACGGAAAGGTTAGGTTTGCCGTCGATTTTCGCTGCACGCCAGGGTGCCCGGGTGCCCGGGGGTGCCCTGGGGTGAGGTTGGCCGCCGATTTTCGCTGCACGCCCGGGTGCCCGGGGGGGGCCCGGCGGTGCCCGGGTGCCCGGGCGTGCCCGGGGGTGCCAGGGGGTGCCCTATAGCCCTATAGCCCAATAGCCCTATAGCCCTACAATGTTATAGCCCTATAGCTGTATAGCCCCATAGCTCAATAGCCCTATAGCCCTATAGCCCCCTAGCCCTATAGCCCTGATTGTTTTTTTCTCCGGTATCATTTGTTTTCTTAGTTTTTCCTCGGCTGTCGTAGCGTTTCCTTTATTTTCTCAGTTTTTCCCTGGTTGTCTTAGCTTTTCCTTGGTTTTCTTAGCCGTTCAATGGTTTTCCCTGGCTCAATTATGTTCAGATTCATTCATATTTCAATTTGCACTGTGACCCATTCCTACTCTGGCTCGGGGATTTTTGTGGGGGCCTGCCGAGTGCTAAGATAACGCATCGGTGCGGGGCGGGGGCGATACCCTGGGGTGGACCACCCCCTACGACGGCCGAAGAAAATCAATTTCCCAAATGGGATTGTAATAGAAATCTCCTTGGGATCCCCAGCATTCCTCAGCATTCCCTAGGAATCCCTAGCATTCCTTAGGATTCTTAGCATTTCCTCGGAATCCCTAGCATTCCCTAGGAATTCTCAGCATTCCGTGGAATTCTCTAGGGATTACACCCAGATCCTTAGCATTCCATGGGAACCAGAGAGACATTTAGCAAAATCCTTGACATTCCTTGCGAATTCCTCTCTTGGCCCTGTAGGGGCCGCCACGGATTGTTTTGTTCGTTGCGCTTTTGCGCGCGGTGCTAAACATATCGCTCGGCGGAAGTGGCCCCGCGGAATATTTAATAACATTGCGGTGCTAAGATAACACCGGGGGGGTTCTCAAAAGCTTCTTCGGGTTACGTCCCTGGCTTCCCCCCTGGGCCGCGCACATGCCGCCTGCCATGATTTGCACCCCCCCTCTTGGACGCCCCCCTCTTGGCCGCTCCCCAGTTCTGCCTGCGGCCCCGTTCTGGGCACGATCGAAGTGGGTGCGGAAAGAATGGGCACGAAGAGCGACAGTCAGAGGACTGGTGAGCACGCCGTTTTTGGACATGCTCGTTGTGGCATTCATGTGAGGACGCCCTTTTTTGCCATGCGCGTTGTGGCATTAGTCACCGTACCATGGCGCGGGGAGCTGAAATTAAGGAAAAAAGAGCGGCAGTCAGAGGACGGAAAGTTGGCAATATGGCTACCCTTCCATTGTGTTCTTTTTTTCTGGCCTCGGAAGTCCTGGTCAGAACGCACCCTGGAAGGGGTCCGGGGAGCAGCGGTATCTGTACGTTCTGGCTTTCCCAGAAATGGCTACGGATGCAGTCCCTGTCCATTTTGAACAGGCGTCGCTGGCGGCGTCGTCGCGGACGTTGTCTATTTGAGACAGAAGACCGCCTGCCCAGCAGCGGGCGCTGCCGATTTGGGACACAATGTGTTGTTTGTAGGGCATCGTGCCAATTTGTTCTCCGTGCCCACTGCGTGCATCCAAATCTCCCACAGAAGGCGAGAAGAAGTACGGATGATGTTTGGCCAAGTCTAGCCAGGGGAATACAAGGAATGGTTGGTAGAACGTGGGAGGTGGACATTGTGAACACTCGGTGGCACCCTTGTCGAGTGGAAGCCAGGATCCATCAAGAATGAGGAGGGTGGGAGGGAAGGGTAGATAAAGGATCGCTGAGGGGTTGCGGGGCTGGAGCTGTCCCCTGTGGCTGTGCCGCGATCTTTTCTCCTCCTCCCTCCACTCCGCATCATTGTTCTTATCATACCTATACCCCGCCGTCTCCTCCTCCGCCTCCGCCTCCTCCTCCTCCACCAGCTTCCCGCAGGTTTTCCTTCCCGGTGGTCGTGCCCGCGCTGGCTCCGCGTGGGGGGGGGGCACGAGCTCTGAGCCTGGCCGGTTTGTCCCCCAGGAGCAGACTATAACAAGGGGAGCATCGATGTGCGAGGTGAATGCGATACACCATGAAGCATAGCAGGGCTGTGCGCACGGGAGGGAAAGGTGAGGAGTGAGCATTTCATTTCGACGTCGCATGGGCTCTCAATGTTGTCAGCCTGTTGTTCACACTCGTGCGGTGAGGCAAACAACAGATTCGGTACACTTGTTGCAATCGCTTCTTCTCTGGGCTATCAGAGCCTGTTAGAGTTGGACGGTTCACAGGTTGCCCAGGGGGAGCCAGGTGAGGCTGGTCGGTCAGGGTGTCCATGCATGTATGGGCCACTCCTCGGCTGAGCTTCGGCGGTTTCGGATGCAACTGCTGGGAGGTCAAATTCTGATTTAGCCCGGGTCCGAAATCCCGCTTGGCTTAGTCTGGCTTAATCCCGCATAATCCCGCTGACTCCCGCTTCATCCGGCTGAATCCCGCTTGATCCGAGGCCCGCTCTGGCTCAACAGCCCCCCAATGGGGCATAATCCTCTTCAGTCCTTCCGACGAGGACCTCCCAGTAGTTGCCTCCCGACACGGGCCACTCCTCGGCGGAGCTTTGGCGGTGCTGCCACGGCGGAGTGCCAGGGGCGTTCCAAACACGTCGCCCCCGCGCCCAGGCGCGGAGGTCTCTTGGCATCGCTCGGACGTGTGCATTTTTCCTTTGGCGAGGACAATCTAGGAGCATTCTTGATCATTCGGCAAAAAAAACACGCACGAAACTGAAACAAAAGCAGGGAATGGACGTCCGAGCGATGGCCAGATCTCCGCGAGCTCCGAGCGTTCGTGGCTGGCGATGCTTTCCCTCCTGGGTTGTGCCGGGAGGCGCGGACGTGACCGCGCTTCGCGCAGCGCGACGCGACCGTTCAGATTGCCACTCCAGCTCTTCCCATCGCGATGCGATGTTCTGCTACGGCTTGTAATGCCCTTGTCTCTTTGTGCTCGTTTGTCCGTGTATCGCGCGTACGGGATAGGTGCCTCTGAGAGGCAGTCGACTTCTCGATGTGTTCTTGCCGTGCAGCGCAACTCGCGAATTTGAGCGGCTTGTCTTTTCAGGGAGAGGCCCCTGGAGGCCCAGCAGGGACCAAAAGCGCCCCGCAAGAAAGAAGTCTCGACGCCTCCCTCCTGGAGGGGTTGGATGCCCTAGAATCTTGGTGCCAAGGGGTGCAGGGGGCGGCCCCGGGGACTCGTGTCGGATCGAGGGGGTGATCGGCGCGATCATCCAGGCAGGCTTCGCCTGCGAGGGGGAAGAAGGAGGGATCTGAGGCAGGAGCCGGGACGACCTGGGGCGGCCGTCTGTCTGGAGTTGCGTAACGGGGACGCGATAAACCCATATCCTCTCGAGAGATGATAAAAACACGACTGACGGTTTTTCAATATTTTTAACCTCCGGGGGCCCTTACTGGGCCTCGGGACCGTCAAACAACGACTCAGGATGAAAAATTGGTCCTGTGGAGTGGGTCGAGACCACTGGGTGTCAACGTGATGTAACATCATGACGTCGGGGGTCTTGGAGTGGTGCACCTTTCGCGCACGTTGCGGGCCTCAAAATGGCGCTGTGGGGCCAAAACAGGGCACGGAAGGTGCCCTCCCGTGAAGCAACGCCCAAGACTGTGGCAATCCGGAGCATCACCACCATTTCACCCCCCCTGGTGAAACCCAGAGGCATCGATACTGCTACTCCCCAGACCTCTCCTGGCGTGCGTTCTGACCAGACTTTCGGGGCGAATCCAGCGGTGGCGACGAGGGCCTACCAGGAGGCCCAAAAGGAATCACGAGGGAAGGGTAGTGGTATGGGTACCCTTTTCCGCCTCCCCCCACCTTTCCCCACCCGAGATTCCAGCCTACAACGTGTTCACGGTGACCCTCTGCACCCCGCCGCCGGTGAACGCGACGTACACTCTGTGCACCGGCGCGCAGGATCGCCGAGTTCCAGGTCTTCGCGCGCTGGGAACCCAGAAGAGAGAAGTCGAGAGACGAAGTAGATTACCCAGACATGCTGGCGCCGTGAAGAAATAAGCAGGATGGGACATTTTGGTATGTTTCGGCCTCCCGGGCTCCAGGCAATGGGTCGGGATTTCAGGGAACCCCGTATTAAAATCATCAGGACATCGCATGTCTGGACATGTAGCAGAAGGAAGGGAATGAGGAGGGTCGGCGAAGGACAAAATGCATCGAGCAGCGTCGACCCGCAAGAGCCAGCAAGATGGTCCGAGGAGGTTGCCATGAGTTGCCACCGAAGTTGGCGTGGACGGCCTTTTTGCGGACAGCCCCTCCGCGGCCTGGCGATGGGCGCCCGTCGTTCGAGGCAGAAAGCCTTGACGTCACGGAATGTCTGCGTGTGTTTGTTTCCCCCCCGTCGCGGGTTAAACTTTCGCATGGTCTCGCGAGTGCCGCTCGGGATGCCAGCGTCGCTCGGGATGCGAGCGTCGCTCGGGATAAGTGGCGTTGCTTTGAGCGGTAAAGAAATGTGAAGTCCCTGCCAGGCCCCATCGCGTGGTGAAGTCAAACATGTTCGGCTTCTGGGCGGGGGCCCTCGGGGCCGCTTAAAGGCAGGCCAGGAAGATGAGCCCGTCCAGGGAAGGGGGTCTGCGGGCGTCCGACGTGCTTTTTTCTCTTTCTGTAAGTCATTGTATGTGCATATATATATATATATATATACACACGGGGTCCCCGGCAGTCCCGACTCATTCCCCAGAGCCGGTTTTTCATCCTGTGTTGCTGTCTCCCACACGACAGGTTGGAATTGTCAGATTGCCAGTGGAGAACGACGTCTGCCCACCCTGCATCCCGCGGTCGCCAGACACCACAGGATCCTGGGAGCCCCTACCAAGTGTCCCGCCTTGCGTCCTCGACGAACGACGGCACCATACGGCGGTTGCCAGTCCAGACAGGATTCAGGGAATCCCTGAGTGTCCCGCCTCGCGTCCTCGACGAATGACGACACCCTGCATTTCAGAGAGCCTCCAGGGACGGCGTCATGCCGTCTAGGCGTCACGACGCATGAGCAAAGAAAGAGGCATGAATTAAATCATCCAGAATATAGCAGATTTCAGAACATGTCTCACAGCAAAGATCCTACGGGCCGAACAGAGCATAGCAGAGCACACCATAACATCACACGCTATAATAGCCAGGCCACATCACCTCACTGCATAACCTTTTCTATTATATCATAACACATGGTAGCATGGCGTATCAGAAATTTCCAGAATACTCCCATAATGTATCCTCACAGAACATATCGAATGGCCTTAAGCCCATCCCGCCACTGTGCCTGGGCTGTCGGTATGAAGCCTATGGGGTGTCCGTTGGAATCTCGTGGGATGCCCCTCGGGCTTAGGGCCTTGGAGGCCGTTTGGGGACCTCTTGGGTGCCATCTTGGGGCCTCTGGGGCCTTCTTGGGGGCCTCTCGGGTGCCTCTTTGGGTCTCGTGGGGGCCTCTTGGGGTCCTCTTGGGGCCTACTGTGCGCCCCTTGGGGCCTCCTGGGGACTTCCTGATGTGGAATGCGATGATTTTCATGTCGTGCTCCCTCTTTGGGGCCCCTTGTGGGGCCGTCCTGGGGCCCTCTTAAGCTGTTTTGGGCGCCTCTTGGGCCGTTTTGGGGGTCCTCTTGGAGGCAACTTGGGCCGTCTTGGGGCGGTCCTGGGGGCCCCTAGGGCCGTCTGGGAGCGTCGGGAAGCCGAAACGGCGAGAACGCCAAACACATTCAGAAGCCAATGGAACATCAATGGTATTGACCTCTTGGACTCCTTCAGGGAGTCCTCTTGGAGGCCTCTTGGGCTTCTTTGAGGCCTCTTGGGCCGTCTGGGAGCCATCTTGAGCGTCTTGGAGCGATCGTTCGGCGACCCTGGGCCCTCTTGGACCGTCGGAGCCTCTGGGAGCCCTCTTGGCCTGTCTTGGGGCCTTCTTGGGCCCCAGGCAGTCACGCGACAAGATGAGGGGGAGTCCAGGGGAACTGCGCCAAGCCCGGTAGACTTCGGAATGTGGGATCGGGGCCCTTCAAAGACTCTGCAGGAGTGAGGACTGAGGCTTGAGGGATGCGGCAAAGGACCGGAGAACGCGCCCACTCCGTGCCCAGAGGCACTTTGGCGGATCATGCCAGCACACATTATACCGCGAGTGACGGAACATCACATACCATGGCATGACATTGCATATCACTCACCTTCGGTCGTTCGTGCCCCTCACACGTTCGTTCACACGCAAGCGCTCATAGGAGTATTCACTCATATTCAGCGTCGCTGCTCGCGCCGATCCACTTGTATTCAGATCCGCTCGCGCTCAGACCCACCCAAACCCCCAAACCAGCCAGACTTATTCGGATTTACTTTCATTCAGACCTCTCAGATTCGGGCGGGCTGGTACTCAGACGCTGTCAGTTCTCAGGGGCTCACAGTCAGACCCACTAATATTCTACTGCGGCGTGCTCAGCTAACCATTCATATTGAATCGAGTGTCATGCTTCGGACCACTTACCTACATGTACACAGTCACCAAGGTAAGCACGTACGGCGACGTCCAGGTCGGGTATGTTGTGCCCCTTTCTCACTGCAGTTGGTGCCTTGCTCTTCATGTTGAAACCAAGCGAAGTATCGAACGTACGTGCGCACACCCATCCTAGCATTGGCCGCTGCATGACGGTGTGCTGTGTCTCTGGGCACATCGAAAGCATTGAGTTCAGCACCGTTGCACGTGCAGCCGCTGCCCATCAAGAGTTGCCCATTGCTTTGTGGAGGACAAATGGAGAGGAAGCATGTTGCCAAATAATTTCCAGACGTCTAAAACATTTACTAAAACTACTGTAAACACGTCTATATATGCACATATATAAACAAAACATGTTTCAAACTTTGCCCAGATATTTTCCCGACACTTAAAACACAGGTGTAATTCGATGATAGGACTGTTAGGATGTCCATTGTCGTGGCATCCGCAACCATTGCTCTATCCTGAGGACAGCCGGGCCCTGGTGTCGTTCCCCATCACCGGATTCAATTTGGGGGAGATACACCCCACGGCCCTGAAGGACACCGCCGACAGCGGTGCTTACAGGACGGCCCGTGCTGCCTGTGGAAGGATGAGAATGAGGAGGAGGGAGAGGGCGAGGGAGGAGGAACAGGAGGAGGGCAAGGAGAGGGGCGGAGGACTGAAGTGCTTCTCTGTATGAATACACGTGGGCGAGGTGGGGGCGTGAAGGATGAGGAGTCAAACAAGGCGACGGATGACGGATCAGAGCGACACCCTTCAAACGACTAGACCAAATCTCCTATGTCAGGAGGGAGGAGAAAGTTGTGAAGGAGGAGGAGTGGACAGAGGAGGCAATCGCGCGATGCGCGAGATTGTCGTCGAAGAGGGCTTTCGTGCCTGCGAGGCGCCCGAATGGTTCTGGATGGGGAAAGGAGGCGAGGGGTCCGGGCACGCCGCGCCAGCCACAGGGGACTTGGCTCTGGCGCCAGCTTCGTTTTGGCAGCATTCGGCTCATGTCTGGTTCGTGCCGTTGGTCTGGTTGGACGCAGTCCCCGAAGGCATGGCCGCACAGCACCACCCCGCGCTCTAAGCGCTGCGCCCCGTACGGCTCGCCCCGCACCCCGCGATTTATGCGAAGGGAAGCAATATCTGCAGCAGACCGTCTACAGCGCAAGGCGCGAACAATGTCTTCGTCCAGCGATGCGGCCAGCAGCTGACAGACGAGGCGCGCCTGCTGCCCCGGGGCGAGATGCAGGAGCTGTGCCAGCTACGGTCGGACTCTTTGTGATAGTGCGTCGGTCCGCTGGTTCTGGCCCACCACGCTCTGCAGCGACACGCTATCTACGTCCTGGTCCCAGACCTCGACGCCCCACCTTTTCAAAGCCTCCCGCCCCGCGGAGCGGAACGAGTCGCTATCCACTTGCAGGGCATAGTGTAGTGTGTCGCCAGGGCTGCTGTGGCGACCCGCTGTCCAAACGTTCCTGACCGTAGTCCGCGATGAAATTCAAGAGTCGCGCTGCCCAGGCAAGGATGGCCGCGTTGACACAGTGATGATTGCGGCGAGAAGTGATCGACCATCGCAGGACCACAATCGATCGCGGGTGAGTGCCGCGTGGAGGCGTCGTTCCCAGAAGCACCCTTTTTGAGAAGCGGTGCCACAGTATCACAAGACATTGTACTCAGTGCACCATTGAAGACGCGGCCCGAACCACGACGCCAAGAAGACCAGAACGCGTTGATGATTGCTCGCGCGCACGGTCATGAGCCCGTCAACGCAAGCATGAATATTGTCTGTAATGGTTCGCATGACTTCTAGGACGCTATCGCAAGCTACATTGCAATGCAGGGACAGGTTGGCAGAGGGAGGCCACTCGAGGAGACATCCAGTCGCCTCAGCCGGCTTGATCGGAGCTCGGCGCTACGATATCTTATGTCGGCTGACGCCACCGCGTCGTACGCGTGAAGGACGGTGCAGGTGATTTGGGCCATGCGACAAGTTGAAGATGAGTTCGGCATTCCAGGAGTGCGCCTATTTGATCTCAGTTTATTTCTGCGCACCCGTTCGAACTCACAGTAGCGGTGAACGGGAGGTGTCCTCCTTCTGTGGGGATTGCGCATACGTGCGTTTGGATTAAGGTGCTTATTGCGTTGCAGCAGCAGCGGCAGTAGCAGCAGGAGGCGAGTTTCCTTTTCTGGCGTTGGAAGGAGCAACCCTTCCTTCCAGCGCCACCTACTCACCTGATCGAGGGTATTCCAACCTCCACCTCCACCTCCTCCTTCTCCTCCTCCTCATCCTCCTCTCCTTCCCTCCCTCGTCATGCTCCCAGTTCTCCCTCACCGCCTCGTCCCCTGCGCCGCTGTGACCTCCATGAGTAGATTGCCTGCGGGCCAGCGATTCTCAACTCACGCGTCCCTCGCTCCGATTCCTGCCTTGCCTCGCCCTGTCACATCCATGTCTCTCCCTCGTATTGCTACGCTCTCCTACTTCCCCTGCTCTCCGACCGTCCCGTCGAACCGCGCTTCCCCATCCCTCTCCCCTTTCTTGCCCTCCCCTCACGCGAGGATAGTCTCACCTTCGGCGGCGCCACTGATACTTGCCGCCGTCTTACTGGCTGTGCTGTGCTAGCCTCAGTTGGGCTGGGCATTGGTGTTCATATGAGCAGGCCTGCTTGTGGTCATGCACGGGGCGTGAGGGGAGGAAGGAGGCCGCGGAGGAGGAGAAAAAAGATCAGGAGGAGGAGGAGGAGGTGAGGAGGAGGAGGGCGAGGGGGGAGTAGGATGGGACGGGTGAGGGGGAGAGCGGAGGAGGATGACGAGGGGAGGGTAAGGGGTCATGGAGACCAGAGAAAGCTTCGCAATTCAACGTCTATGAAGGCCCCCATGGGCCACCCCATGGGGAGGTGACAACCTACTTGGATACTATCCACCCCTCTGAGCCAATACCTCATCAGGGTGGCTCGATGCGGCTTATGCATGGGCAAATGGCGATTGGGACACGCGTATGTGATATGGTCAGGCCCCCACTCCCTCGGAGCCCTCCCCACTCCCTCGGAGCCCTGTTGGGTCAGCATCTCGAAGGGGCTGAAGCCGTATTCGACGGTCCAGCTTGTGTGGTCGAGCTGCGCACGAGGAATCGTTTGTCATCTTGATCCGCGCGGGGCTCTGGTGCAGTCCGCGCGGGGGGGGCGGGGGGGCGGTCGTGCGGAGAGGAGGGGGCGCGCGAGGAAGCACGGACTGGAGGCTCTTGCCCTTGCATGCGAACTGATTGTCTGGTGTCAGCGCCGCGTCCGCTTCAGCCGCCCATCGGTTCTGCAGATAGGGCCCAACGGTGCCAGCTGATTATAGACGCTTCATCTTTAGTCGGCAACACCCCAACATACTCATACTATATGTGCGTCGCCCCCCCAGGGGCGACGCGCGCACCGAGAAATCTTATAGTATATGCGTCGTGGCGGGCGCTTTCTGGCCACACCGCTCGGGAAACGAGATACTACAAGATGGGTATACGATATGTTCGGGTCGGACGCGCGCCTCCAAGGAGGACATATAGTACTAGTATGTCTCTGTGCTTCCCATTTAGGTCCCATTGCGTTCTGAGCAGGATATTACAACAACCACCGAAAGAACGCCATTGCCTCTTCAGGCCATGCGTCCTATGGCTCTAAGCCTTCGACTCGGCGTCCTATGTAATGCGTCGGATGGTTTCCCCCGGTCGTTCATATTTAGGGTGCGGACGGTATTCCAGCTTCTCTCATCGTCTACTACATGCTGCTATTCGGCCGCGAGATCCGACCTCGCCCATCAACGACTCAGGCAACTCGAGGGTCGGCGGGGCAAGGTTCGGGATTTGCCGGCGACGCGGCGGAACTAGAAAAACATCCGACCCTCGCCTCCTCGAACGCGGCCGTCGGGTGGGAGCTGCAACGGCTCGTCGATGGGTGCAGCGGTGGCCCTCGCGAGGGGCAGCGGATGTTCGACGGGAGACAACCCCACCCCCGCGGCCCATCGATTCGGGAAACATCGCGGGTCCGTGGGGGTAGGATTCGGATGCCGCACCGCTGCCCCCCGCACGGCGGGCGCCCCGCATCCCCTCCCTTGACTTGCAGCGCGCCGCCGCCCGCCCGCCCGACGGCGCCGCGCCCGCAAGGTGCTGATCCTTTGCCCCCGCCGCCAGCGCCGGTCTGCCGCCGGCGAGCGCGGCGCGCCCCGTCTGCGGGTGTGGTGGTCGCCTAACGAGGCAGGCAGCTGGAGGCGAGAGGCCAACCCCTCCCTCCCTGTCCTCCTCCCTGTCCTCCTCCACCCTCCTCCTGCCTCCTCCCTTTTCCTTCCTTCGCCTCCTCCTCCTCTTCCTCCCTCTGCCTCCTCCTCCTCCTCTTCCTTCCTCACTCCTTCATCCTCGCACCTCCTCGAGAGTTCCCCGGGCCCGCGCCTGGAGAGAATCATCGGAGTTCTGGGATTCTGGGCGGTCGGAGGTCTCGGATTCTGGGCGCCTCCCCCCCCCTCCCCTCGGGGGAAGACGCATCGACCCCCCCTCGCCCATCCATCGCCAACAGGGGACGGACAGGCCACCCCGGGCAGGAGCGCACGGATCTAGGATCGGGGGGGCACATCGCTCGGGGGCGGCAGAGAGGGGGGTGAGACCAGGGGGGCGGATATCATGGCGTGGGCCATGGTATTTCCCCAGATGTCATGGCACCTCTTCTTATTTCATGACGTCCATGGCCCCCCCCCGTTGGCCGCGCACATGCCGCCGGCCATGATTTGCACCCCCCCTCTTGGACGCCCCCCTCTTGGCCGCCCCCGAATCGCAGGTCCATCGTTGATTGTTTGCCGGTTCCAGCTCGACGCACCTCCCCCTGAGCCGGTGCCCCCACTGACGCCCCCCTCACCAGCTGGAAGCGCCACGACTCAAGCAGTCGCGAAGCGTCCTGGCTCGCCTACAGCACTACCAGACAAGTTCTTAGAACCTGATTGTGGTTTCCACGAAATGTTCTCAGAACAGTTCTGGCTCGGACTGTCTTGTTTTAACACGTCGGGCTTATGTTCTAAGAACATGGTTTTCGTTCTTAAAACGTTCTGGGGTTCTAAGAACACTTCGTGGTAGGACTATAGGAATGCAGGGACGGTCGGTCCCTGCTCAAACGAAGGTGCCCCAGCATCAGCTATCGCCGGTTCGCGCAGAGGCCCCCTCCCCACACCGCTGCCGGCGCCTCCGGGCGATCGTCCCGCGCGCCAGGGGAGGGTCGGGCCCCCAAGCGGCGCGGTTACCACGCCGCACAGTGTGGCGAGTCAGTGGGGGGCCGGGGTCGTGCTCCGCGGATGTCTCGGGCGACTGGGGTTTCCAGGGTCCCAAGATCGTGCGGTGACGAAGCGTGCGGTGAGGTCCTCTGAGATTCCGAGGCCACCGCGCCATCTGTCGCCATCCGAGACAAGGAGGAGGAGGGAGGAGGAGGAGGAGGAGGAGGAGGAGGAGGAGGAGGAGGAGGAGGAGGAGGAGGAGGAGGAGGAGGGGGAGGGGGAGGGGGACTGGGACCCCTCGGAAAGGTTTGGGGAGTCGCCGGTAGGGTTGTGGGGAGGAGTCCTTGGCACCGTGCCTGGAGATTCGCGAGATTGCGTTCAGCGGTGGCGAGCACAGGGACGCAGACCTCTCCTCCGCCGCGTCGTCGTTCCTTTCTTTCTGTTGACCTTCGGGGGGGCCCCTCGCCGCCACAGGACGGCCCAAGAGACCACTAAGAGATCCCCACGAAGGCCCCTTTGGGCTGCCGAGGTGCCTAAGCCTTTTGGGCGTTTCTCGGAAAGCTCCGTCGGTGGCGACGCTGGAGTCAGTCTGGGCGGGTCGCGCACTTCGGATGGACACGGGGCACCACCCCAGAAGCGCCCGGCACCGCCCAAAACTTCTGGCAAGTTGCGAGAGCCTTCGTATTGCCCACGTGCGTTCCCACCATGGGGCGCTGCACTACTGAATGCACGGCGGCGGGCTTACACCAGCCATCACAGAGAGTTCGAAGGCATTTGAGGACACTCCACTTTGTGCCTTGCGGCACGGTGGCGCCGGCGTGCCCGGCGCCAAGGAGCTTCCTCTTGGGAAGCAGCTTTTTTAGTCCTCGTTCCTCCTTCTGGGGCCTCGTGGATGATCTGCGGTCTTCTCGATAGGTCGATGAGGTTCTCGAGAGAGCCTTCGATGCCCTATCTCAGGTGGGATCGCTTCTGATGGTGTGGGCTCCAGGTGGGATCGCTTCTGATGGCGTCGGAGCGCTTCTGATGGTGTGGGTTCCAGGTGGGATCGTAAGTCGTTGCTGGGGGGCTCTGGAGGGGAGGCAGAGGGAAAATACGAACGGATGGGATCGACGAGGGTGAGTGGGCACAAAATGTACTCAAGACGGCGCAAACGGGAGTCGCAACAATTCCCGCACGGCGTCCCTTCTGGGCGGAGGATGTCGTGGTGCTCGCAGTGTTGGCCTCGCTCGCACGCGAGAATGGCGCCCGCTGCGTTGCCCAACCAGCGACTGACCTCGATGGCACTTAGTTGCCATCAGAGCCAGACTCGTCCTGGCCGGCCTCCCACGCAGGGGGCTCGCATCGGCGGGGGACCGTCGGCGGTCGTGCGTTGGCCGTGCTCGCGCTGGCTCCTGACTGGGAAGTGTGGCGATGTCTCTACACATGGCGTTCGATGGAATCGAGTACAGTCGGGATGCCCCTTTTTGGCCCCACACGGCCAGAGGAGAAGCCACAGAAGGACCCAAGAAATATCGAGCCCCTTCCTTATCCAAACTGTTACTTATTTCAACGACTTGGCTGCAGCCGCGTGACACACGGCAACCGCAGTGCATCCAGCGAGAAAGGCAGCATGCACGCAGCGGCGCGCACAACCCTGGCCGGCGCAGGGAGCCGGGCAGGCGCCAGCGACCAAGCTCAGCCATAGCTCGGGGTCCCTGCTCCGAGGTCGCTGCCCTCGGCCACTCTGTACTTGGCATCGCTCGGACGTGTGCATTTTCTTTCTCGGCGAGGTCCTTCGAGGAGCATCCTCGACCATCTGGCGCAAAAGCCACGCACGAAGCCGAAACAGCACAGGGAATGGACGTCCGAGCGATGGCCACTCTGAAGCGCTGGGACCCTCTCTCTGTGCACATGGTGCAGCTCCCTCGTGCCAGCACGCGGTCCTCGTGCAACGCATGCCCTGCCCCCTCGGTAAGAGTCCCCGCGGCAAAGAGATCGGGCCTCGGCGCGCCACGCGCCACCACTACGCTCCCGCAATCCACCGTTTGGCGTCGAGGCTTCGGCCAGGCCAGCACACTGGTCCCCTGTCCCTGTCCTCTCCCGCTCCCGCTCCTCCACTGTCTCCTTCTCTTCTTCGCTCCGTTCCTTCCTTTGGCTCGCCACCTCGTCCTCTCTCCCTGCTCCTTCCTCTCCGCATCCTCCCCCTTTCCTTCTTGTCCTGCCCGTGATCGGCAATTCCAGTTCGGGTTGGCCAGGAGCGTCCATTGACCCAGCTTTTTGCCAGGATTGACCACCACCCCGCCCAGGCCTGTAGCTCGGCCGGCTTGTTGCCGAACGGCGCGAGGCGACC